CCGCCCCCCCCCCCCCCCCCCCCCCCGCCTCCTTTCATCCTCTGTGGCCTTGTCCGGCCTGGAGAGGGGGGATGGAGGAGGCTACCACAGAGCCTTGTTACCTTCTCAAAAGCCGGAAACAAAAGAGAACAAGAGAGCTCTGACTCTACTCCTTAAGGGGGTGTTCACAGGTTGAATTCACTTTTTAATGGTCAAAACTGCTGTCAATTTTAGAAATGACTGATAATTGGTCAGGAGAAAAAACTCCCATCAGCCACCAGCAGTTTCAACTTCCTTAGCTCTCAAAACCACCTTAAAGGTAAAGCTACCCCATGACACATAGAAAGAAAAAAAAACCTGTGAAAATTGAATGCTGTTTGAATTCAATGGCTGTGATATAATACTGTCTGTACGCTGCATTCTAGATTATCACATCTCATACATCTTCTGACATTTTTAGATTAGTTCAGCTCAGGTTGATTGATTGATTGATTGATCAGCTCAGACACTGAACAAAGTCCCACTGATATTTGTGGCTCATTGTCTTTGGATCCCATCTCAATGCAAGAATGTTTAATAGTGGGAAAGACAATCCAGCAATCTGGAGGACTCTCAAATAAAAGCTCCTAAGATGTCATAAATTATGTAAGTTCATGTATCAGGTAGTAATGCCACATAGAAGGAGATGGGCCTTCAGCTGGAAGCAGGAAATGTGGAATAAATATGAAGATCCTTAGATAATTCTCACAACGCTGTCTAGTGTAAGAAAGCGTTCCACACAAAAGGATAAGGAGCAGGAAAGCAACCTGGTGGCATTTCCAAATGGTGTCTGGCCTTTGGTACTGCTTTTTCGAGAAGGTAACTTAGTGTCTGAATTGGGAATCACAAGTGCAATGTCTCTTACCTCTCTCCTAAGAAAACGAAAGAAAACTAAGCTGAAGTTGGTTGCTAGAGTCACATGAATATCATGCTCTCTGTATTGATGGTAGATGACTTCATTGTTTGTCATGATTTTTAATGAAATTAATGTGCTTGTTTCAAATGCTCCTCATTGTTTCTTTTGTTTTAAAGATACTCCTGTATATCCTACTTCTTCAGTTCCCAGAGATGCTGTGGCTGGTGACATAATAGGCAAGTTGATGGTGTTTTTCCCCCATTTCACTGCTTTTCCCCATGTTGCTATTTTTCACTGTTTCAGTGGTGTCTGCTCTTTTTTAGAATTGTAAAGCTGATTTTTAGGTAGTAGTTTTGCCTCTGTTGGTATTTATCTTTCAAAGGAACCTTTGTTCTTGGCAGAAGTTTGTCATATTGTCATGCTTATACCAAACAGTTTAGTGGGTTAGATCCAGAAAGAGTTATGGATCAAAGTAACTTTGGCCAGCCTCCAGCAGACATCTGCAGGAGGGGCTGACCATCTTGTTTGGTGCACTTAAGAACAGATCCATCAAGACTTTCTGACATGTACAACTTTCTGACATGAGAAACAATGTTTGGTGTAAATCTTTTTCTTGAGGCTAACTGACCTTTGCCTCTTGACTGTCCTCTCTCACCTGGCAAATTGTATGTAGCCCTTGGCAGTGAAGGACTTGGATTTCTAAGAAAGCTTCATATTTCTTGTTTTGCTCACTGCAATGCTGTCTGAAATCCATACAATGATTACCTTGGTGGGCTAATATTTTTTAGCCTATATTACCATACTGCACAACAGAGACATCATCACAACTAGCATTTAATCACTTAAGTGAATACTTATAATGCACTTCACCTTCATACAGCATCCAAAATCGTTGCCCTGGTAGGCTTCTGGGTATGCTCTGTTGCATATCACCTTCCCTCACAAATTTTTAAAAGAAAGAAGAAGAAAACTTCAAAGAAAAGTGAATAAATATAACAGGAGAAAACCGATCTTGAGCTCTTTACATTTTCAATGAGCAGCATCTGAATTTGAAGGCATAAGAAAGGCAGCTGTGTCTAAGTGGAAGTTTCAGTAAAAGTTGTAAATTTCTGCTGTCAGATTAAGCACAATTACAGATAGTGGTTCTTATGAATGAGATTTTGCATGTAAGGCTCATACAAATAGGGTATTTTTGTTCAAGAGTAATATTTACTAAGTACTGATCTATTTTTCTCTGTAAAATGACAAGGAATTCTGGGATTATATGCACTAACTTTGTTTTTTTTCTTTTCCTTACCTGTTTTAACTAGAAGGAGGCTGCAAACCAGGGTATTTTGGCCCTCAGTGTCTGTGTAAGTGACGTAGTTTCTTTGACACTTGGAGCCTGTGCTCCAGGATAAATGCCAACCTTTGGCTTCCAAAGGAAATAAGAACTTTAGGATAATAATGCTGCAAATGTTTTCTTTACAAATGTGCTCTTCAGTGTGCCAGTGCCACGGTGCAGGAGTGCTGGGCAGTGACTGCAATGGAAGTACTGGGCAGTGCAGATGTCGAACTGGATTTGGGGGTTTTTCCTGTGATAGCTGTGCACCTGGCTATTTTCAGTATCCCTTCTGTCATGGTAAGCCAAACATTCCCTTTTTGCTAGCATATCCAAAACACCAAATCCCCTAGTTTCATACTGAAGGATGAAGTTATTTTGCCATGGAGATGTATTCATAACAGACTCTCCCAAAACTCATAAGTCAAAGAAGAATAATGTGGTGAGGGGAGATTTTGATCTAAAAATGCCCGTTTCCTTGGTTGCTGTCTGCTGTTTGATGCAGCTGCCAGACTAGTTTGTGTTTGGATTTAGTAACATTGATTAAATTTAGAAGAACTTTGGAAATATTTCTGTTACTTATCCTTGGGGTGTTTTTAAAAAAACATTGTGTTTAATATGAGTTTGCAACCTCACTTTGATGCACTAATCTACCCTATCTAATCAATACTAGAAAACTGACTGATTTTGAACTTTAAAAGCTGTCTCTGTACTGTCTTTTTAGGCAATTTATTGACCACTCCCACTCGAGATTATAAATCTAAACCATAAATTGTTTTGCTTCAGCCCCAGAAGTGATGGAACTACTTTCAGTAGTTGGCAAACCACATGGGATTGATAAATCAGACTTTCAGTGGGGCCAGGTCAAGTGTAGTGCTTTGACACTGATAATTTAACTTTGAGCCAGCTTCATTGCTCTTTTATTAATGTTTTCCTTGTTCCTGAATTGTTACACATGTGAGCAATCAATAAAAGCTGTTATGAATATAAATCTGATGGGAAAATTTTCATCTTGTTGAGCATCAGGGAGCAGGGAATTGCTTTTACTGCTCTTTTTTACAAATATATTTCTATTTCAAGGAAGGTAAGAGAGCCTGTACAGAGACTACCTCTGAAATATCTTTTCTCATTGGCAGTGTGTGAATGTAACTTGTTGGGTACCCAGCCTCAAGTCTGTGATTTCTTTGGGAGGTGTCTTTGTCGCTCAGGGGTCAGTGGACTTCAGTGTGACAGCTGCCAGCCTGGCCACCACTCGTTCCCTACCTGTCAAGGTAAGGCTGCTGATTGCAGGTACAGCATCAAACAGTGCCCTAAAAAGGCAGACAGCAGTGCTTTCCAGGACAGTGCTGCCAATGCAGTGTTCACACCAGCAACTGGGCAACTCCCTCTTGTGCTCTACAGTGAAATCCTCATATATTTTAATTCTCCAGTTTTAGGCGTTTTTTTCCCCTCATGGTCAGACTGTTTGATGTACTTTCAGTCAGCTCATCTGTCTTACTAATGACCAAAGCATTTGAGATCTGTTCTCACAAGGAGGCCCACAGCAACATGGCATGCTTGACTGCTGAGGAACCAGCATAGCAGAACTGTGAAGCACTGGTCTGCGTGTGCAGAGTGTCTTTGCTACCTTGTTTGGTACCAAAGTTTGGTATCTTGTAAAAGGTGTGTTCTACAAATCTGAATATCTGAAGCTGTCATTTTGCCCTTCATGGTGGTTTCTCACTTGCTTTAATATCATTTGACAGGAACTAACCCAACCTGTGTCCACGTAGGCATGAAACATGAAAGATCTCTATGGAGTTTCCCACCAAGGACTACCCTGTGTTTTTAAAAGACAGGGAAATTAATGGAGTATAACTTTTGAGTATCATAATGGTCTTGTGTGCATACAAGGACTCCCATCAACTCCTACTTTGCCCTAGGTTTTGTCTGCCTTTAATGTGTATGAGAGAGGGGGCCCTTAATCCTTAGTGATTTTTCCATTGAGAAATAATCTAGAATATTGCAGAGTTCTGGTATGTGCTTTCCTGTACTGATTAACAAGATTTATGTATAACATTATGATTTGCTTTTTTCTCTCTTGTTTTTTTTTGGCTGTTGGCTGTGTCAGTCTTCTTCCTTTGGGCTTATACAGTTTATCTTCTACAAAGGGACAGCAGAATTCTTTATGCCCTCATGCTCTGGTTTCAGCTGGGTGGGGTAGAGTTAATTTTATTCCTAGTACTGTGTACAGTGCTGTCTTTTACCTTTTTTCCCAGTTCTTCTCCCTATTCCATGGGTGGGATGTGAGTGGCTGTGTGTACCTATTTGCCAGCTGGGGTTAAACTGTGGCACCTTGAAAAGACAGACTGTGTTGTGTTTCCAAACACAATGGGTGGAATAAAGAAACACCACATGATTGTGGGTTTTATGGTCTGGAGTAGATGAACATTTTTAATGAGAAACATAAAATCAGGATTCTGCATTGGTACACACTGTTCAGTGTATTTAAAATAACCTTTTTTTTTTTTTTTTTTTTTCCCTAGAGCAAAATCAAGTAGCAATCTTAAAGCAAATCAAACCTGTATTGAATATGTTTGATCTTTGAACACCAAAAGCTGAAAAGAGACATAAAAGCTTAAAAGAGCATGCAAAAACAAATTGTAAAAGACAGATAAAAATAGTTGAAATCACAGTCAGTGGGATTACTCAGAACTGCTGCGGTTCACAGTTTGTTCAGTTAAAATGAGCTGCCATGGGTTTAAACATAAATTAACACACCATGTTGCAAGCTGTGGGGGAAAATGAGCAGCCCAGCCTGCTGCTCCTCTAAGGAATTGTCATCATCAAACAGGAGACAGATCTATATTTTTGGGTTGCTTTGACTAGAACTAATCTCTATGGTCTTGACTTGTTGAACTCAATAGAAGCTTTATTCAAATAAAGTGAGATCCAAGTGAAGCCTTTAAACAAAACACTAATTCTAAAATTAGGAGAGAATGCAATAGTCAAATGATGGGGGACTCTAGTATAGGTGTTGCTCTTGGAAGCTTCAGTGTTTGTATTTCTCTTACACTAACTTCCTAGCAAGCCTTGTGTTTTTCCAAGCATCGTTAAAGTAAACACAGCAAATTCAGATGTCTTTGACTGCAGCAAAAAGAGGAACCAAAAGGGGGAACCAGAAACATGAACACGTAACAGGAAGACAGTATTTGCTTCATATTTCTGTCAGTCAGCCATTTCTGCCAGTCATTACATCCAAGTGGCTAACTACAGCACTTCATCTTGTACCTGGGACAGCTGGGATGCTTTCCTGTACCTGGGAAGTGTGACCCTATGGAACATTCCAGCATCATCTCAAGAAAATAATAGGTCTTGTCTTCAGCTGTTAGCCCAAACAGCTAGTTTGGGTGGTAACTCCATGAGAAGTTTGCCGTTATCGTTGAGAACATGCTTTGAGTATATTTTCTAAAAATTATTTTAAGTATTTCTCTCATGTGACATTCTTGCCAAATGTAAGATGGATTTATGTCCCTTACATGTGTTTTGCAAGGCATCAAACTGAATCTCTTAGCTGTGCATTACAGAACTGCACGAACCAAGATTATCAGTGGTTGAGGAGGCAATTGCAGACTGATGGTTATCTGTTTCAGGTTATTTATTTTTGGTGGTAAAATTATGGTTTGTCTGGTTTTCTGAACACAAGTGATTGATTTACATTCAAAGGTAAGTTTTTTGGCAAATTCTAGATTTAGACATGTATCTGTTATTTTTTTTTCTCTGTGCAGAATGCAGCTGTGATGTTGTTGGCTCATTGGGGAATACATGTGGTGCTGGAGGGCAGTGTCTGTGCCGTAGTAACTATGCTGGGCTGAGATGTGACCAGTGTGCTCCAGGATATTACAGCTATCCCAACTGCTTGCGTGAGTAAAAGCCTTCCCTGCTTTTATGGGGGTTTTCCTTCCTATTTCTGCAACATAGAAGAAAATAAATCTCAAATATATTTCCATTTAAAAGATTTCCATTTTGTTGGCACAGGAACTTTAAGAAAGTGTCTGTCAGTTCCATAGTTAGTGTTCTGTTTTTTCAAGTGACTGCTTTGCATACAAACCCAAATATTATAAGTTAGGCTCAATACACATTTAAAAAATCAATATTAAAGGCTTCTGCTGTCTTAGAGTGTAAAGTATATGAGTCTCTCCAAGGTAACCGTATTAAAAAGCCCTTTCAAGCTGACACCTGCTACATTGTGCTTCTGCACTACTACATTCCACAGCTCTGTTTTCAAAAGATCTTTCAATGTGTTTGTTTTATAAAGGCGTCAACAGCGAGTGTGACCCTGCAGGTAGCGTTGGTTCTCACTCTGTAAGTATTCTGCCACTGCAGCTAGCAGTGCATGTTAATCATTCATGTGCCTTTGCTGAACACATCCAGCTCATTGCTCAAGCCCTGAAGCCTGCTCTTAGACTCCAAAAGAGTTTCATGAGCTTGTTTCAAGTGTAGGAGTGGAAATAAACTTTGTGTTTTGTTCTTTGATCATACCAGTGCAAAACCTTGTCACGGGTGGGTTTTTTTAATCTTGTATATATAGAATATACATACTGTTTATGTCTTTTTGGTATACTCCTAACAGTAACATATACGTGTTGTATATATATGTGTATATATATATATATGTGTGTATGTATATATATATATTCATATATGCATATGTACATATGCATAAGCCTATGCATGTCTCAAAGACCTTCTGGGTCTGAGTTACAACAGGCCTTCCAGCATCAAATTATTCTTGAAAAATTATTACATCTTCATTGACATTCCACTATTATTTTTATTAATATGATGATGGTTATTAGTAGTTGAATATTACCAGAAATTACAGGCATTGTTAAATGAGTTGCAAAGACCACCTAGAGGGTGAGTCTGATGCACAGTAAGGGTACCTATGTAGGCTTCTGCATGGAGCTATGTATGTCTTCCTCCAATAAAGAAAAGATGAAATATGAAAATGAATTAGTATTTTTACGGAAATATGGGGTTTATTCTTTGTGCAAACCAGTTAATACTCTAGAGCACTTCTAATAAGACTATAGAAGAAAAGTACATCCTTTGGGACCCTTATAATAAATCAGATGCATAAAAAAATATGCAGGGTGGAACAATCCTGTGCTGACAGTATGAGACAGAGAAATCTACGATGTCTGAGTCAGCCTGAGATCCATGTATCTGTGAAAGTCATTAAGCTGCAGGAGCTCTTAACAATACCAGGTTTTTTTAGCAGTAAATAGCAGTAAGTTTTTTATTAGTAAGTAGGTGAACCCATATCAGCTCCTTTCTGTTTTTAGGGATATTGTCAATGTCTCCAGCATGTTGAGGGTCCTACCTGCAGTAAGTGCAAACCCTTGTACTGGAACCTAGCCAAAGACAACCCCGAGGGATGTACAGGTATGGCTTTGTGGCCTATTTCTCTGCCTTATGAAATATCGTCATCTTCATTCTCTGATGCTGTCTGTGGTGCTCTCTGTGGCTTTCACGACTCTTGTTAACAGTGTGTTTCTCACCTGCTTAATTGTAACACCAAATTACCCATGATAGCAGTGGTTACTTTCAGAAACCAGGCCATAATTTCATGGGTGTTTGCCTAGTGCTGAACCAGGGTGTGCTCTGAAGTTACAATGATGTTCACTTCATATGGCCCTATGACAGATCTACTGGTGAGAGACAGGACTTTTTACCTGTAACCCTGAAATCAGAATTCAGCTCATTGTTTTGAGAAAAACAGTGCTTTTTCACTTTCTATTATTTCCTACCATGGATTGTAAAGCCTTCTTGTGGCCTCAGGGTGTGACAAATCTGTTATGGTTTATATCTGTATAATAACCTGTGATTGTCAGTGTTTTCCAATGGGGAGTGTGTGTTTTTCAGGCAGATAATATTAATTAATGAAGAATAAAAGGGGAAATATAAAAAATATCTTTTCTCTCCAAATGTGTCCTTTGGAACAGATTCCATCACAACAGCCACATAGGATCAGTAGCTTTAGACCTGATAATGGTCATTACATTTTTTACTTTATCATTACATTTTTTACTTTAGATCTCTAAATACTAAACAACTCCTCAAATATGAAGTACTGCACTTTCTGTGTAATTATCTACTTTCAGTCACAGAGTCAGTATTGGGTTTCTCCAAACTTCTGGGTCTGTGTAATTCCTCCCTGCAATATTTTCTTGGTTTCTATTTCATATGGAGAGTTGATTTGGTCCCAGAGTAGCACTGCAGAATAGAAGATGCCAGTCAGACTGGAAGATGCTGTTTTGTATCAATTGTCTGAATGTTTCAAAGAAAGAAAACAATTTAAAATTCAAACTCAATACTGTTTTTTGTCAAATACAAGTTAAATCACTTTAAAACACACCAGTAAATCACACATTCTTAGAAGTCCACATTCTTTCTCCTTCTCTTTTTCTTCTCACCCCGTACCAGTATCTTGTATGCTGATCTGAGCCTTCCAGAATAAAATCCACATTGTGGCACATTGACTCAAAATTGCAGATTCAGGGTGGTAGGGTTTTTCCCTGTAAAGTATAATGAGAAGATGAAATGCAGGTGTCTTCTTTTTCCATCTGTGCAGCATGCCAGTGTGATGTGAGTGGAACACTAAGTGGAGTTGGAGAATGTCAGCAGGTAAAATGAAATTTAAAAAAAGATATTAATTAAATTGATTATTGCAAAGATAAATTACAGTAGCATTTTCTAAGGTAGAAATCTTAGTACTGTTCATTGCTTTTGAACATAAAATAGCTAGTTTTATACATCAAAGAATCAATTTTACACAACCTAGGGATGTATAGTGTTTTAAATTTTTTTTTCTTCATGAGTTTATGTATTTTCTAGTCTGTTTCTGAAGATGATAAATGACAGAAATAATGTTCAGATAATGGGGTAGTTTTTTGGTTTGATTTTGTTTGTCTGTTTGTTTTTTTTGGGGGGGGTGGGAGTTGTTTGTTTTTGTGGGCTTTGGCAGGGCGAGTGGGTTTTTTGGGGTTTTTTTTGAGATTAGAAAGTTTCTCATCTTCAGAATTTGAGGGAATTCAGAGTATTTCAGAGTATTGAGATATTAAAGTTCTGGAAAGGTACTGAAACATTTTTTGATGAAATTTATTTTCTTCACAGGAAAATGGGCACTGCTACTGCAAATCTAATGTTTGTGGTGATTCCTGTGACACTTGTGAAGCTGGCTATTATGCTCTTGAAAAAAATAATTATTTTGGCTGCCAAGGTAAAATGAATAAAGGACATCTCTAGTGCAACATTTGCATGTAGCACAGAAGAATTTAGAATTGCCTAGGCTGTACTTTTAGAATGGGGATGTTTGAATTACTCATGTGCACAGCATTTTGCACTGATGCTGGTGCTGTAATCTTGCTTGTGACCTCTTTTGCCTTTCAGCAGGAGAAGGAACAAGGCAGATATTACCACTGTGCTTCCCAGTCATTTTGTGCATGTCTTAGAAAACGGGGTGCTTTTAGACTAAGATACAAATCTTATTTTGGAACACTCAGCCTTTCAATCCAGCTTGAAATTTTTAGCCTTGAGATACTTGTTCCTTAGTACAGCATATTATATCTCATTACTACAGGTGTCCTTTAGTTTGTGCCACAAGTCTTGTCCCCTGTAGAAAGTCATTCAGTATTGTTTGATGTCAGTTGAAAATATGTATATTATATGGACATGTACATTGCAATTTTGTCAGATATATTAAATATTTGAAAATTTAGCATCTTGTAATTTTTTTAAGTTAGGCTGTAGATTTTGTTGTTTGTGGGTTTTTAAAAAAAATATTCTTTGTGATTTTGCTGCAGAAATTCTGACTTGCTAGGAAAACATTTGAATACCAGTTCTGAAAAACTGCAGCCCTACATTTAGCAATGTGGCAGGCTGTAGTATTTGAGTTTTTTTTAGAAAAGTGACTTTTGTCACATTCTAAGGAGAAATTAAAAAGGAAACAGGTACAAACATGGGAGCTCAAAATACTTTCAGCTTATGCACGTGTATTAAGTTGTGTTTGAAAGAGTCTGAAGGGCTCTGGGAGGAGGAAGCGAGTCATTAATGGTGTTTTAATTAGGTGAAGCCGTGGTGTGTTTTCTGGTAACTTTTATCACTCTTTCTCTGATTGGCCTGCCAGGCTGCGGGTGCGACATTGGAGGATCCCTCAGCCCAGCCTGTTCCCAGCCCTGGGGCAGCTGCCAGTGCAGGGCGCACGTCGTGGGCACGACCTGTCGGGAGTGAGTCCAACTGGAGCTCCTGGCACAGCTTCAGCACACTTTAAACTGCCCATAAGTCCCATGTTATACTTCCATTCTGAATTTGTTGATAATTAACTTGGTAAATTGCACTGGTTATTGATATTCATTTTCCTGGGCAGTTTCCTACCTATACTGTAGTAAGATTTTCTGACTTGTTTCCTTAAATAACCAATAACCAATTTGCAATAATACTGCATATGTATCTATATATCTATCAAGAGTTGTATAGGAAAAAGTATGAAAACTGTGAAAGCTTCTGGAAAGAAAATTCTCATTACATCCCTCTTACCAGCTGTCTTGAATCTGTGAGCTGCAGTCAGAATTCCTCAGCCGTCAGTAGATCACTTCCTTTCCACTGCTTTTTGCCCTTAGATGTAGATCATAAATGACTGGTAATTCTTTGCTGATTTGTTGTGGGTTTTTTTCCTCTTTGAAAGGCCTGAAAAAAACTACTTTTTCCCTGATCTGCACCACATGAAGTTTGAGATTGAAGATGGTACTACTGTCCAAGGAGGGAAAGTTCGGTTTGGCTATGATCCTCAGGAATTTCCTAGCTTCAGTTGGAGAGGATATGCACAGATGTCCTCTATACAAGTAAGCTGGTATTTCACTCAAGACTTTGGGGTGAAAATGAAAACAAAAGTGCATGGCTCTTATGTCTTTATAATACTGCTATGTGTGTGGAAGTTCATGGAAAAAAGATGGAAAAAAGGGCAGGATCTGACTAATCCAAACCCTTTGGCCCTATGTTGCTGTTTGGATTAGTGAGTGTTGATGTTTTTATCACGTCATTTGCACGTTGCTTATGCAAATACTCCTTCAGAAATGTTCTTTGAGAGATGTAAAGAGGGAATTTACAGCTTTAAAATCTATAATAATACTAAGTGCAGAAATTCTTGTCATGCCAAGAACAGTGGGAACAGCAGAAGATTAATGCTCGGCTAAATAATTTGAGTTGCACAGGTCCGTGACAGTCTGTGTTCATAAGGTTTTCAGATAAATTCACAATGCTGTCATTGAATTAATTTAATACTTGAACTTATGCTGGGTAAAGAAGAGAGGTGCCAGCTTTTGTTATGAATGAAACCTTCACATTACAGCAAACAGGAAAATGTGTGGTTCAGTAAAAGAAGCTGTGAGCAGGGGCATATTGGCAACATTTATTTTAGTTTCATGACAGACTATAAATAAACTAAACAACAGCTGAGGGAAATCATAGGTAGAAAGTCACCATAATTTCTCTGAGAAGGGCCCTTCTGACTTTGGATTGAACTGCTGATCAAATGAAGCAGGATTTTAAAACAGTAGTTTTGAGTAATAAATGGGATTTGTTCACTCATCTTGAAAGTAGTGCTTTGGTGTAGTCGTGTCCAGCCTCCATTGGTCCAGGGACTAATGAATCACTATAGCATGGGCGAAAAGCACATAACCATTGCACAATGATTTCCTTTATTTTCCTTTATTGAAAAGTGATTCCTCAGTCTTTCTCCTTTTGTTGTTTTGGTCTTGGGTTTTTTTTTATCCCAGATAATTCTTGAATTTGCAGTATTATTCCACATTCATAAGTGAAGGCAAATCTTCAGTATCTGTGATTTCTTAATTCCTGCTTTCTAGTTCAGCTGCTTTTTGCATTTCTCTTGCATTTTGTATAGGCTTTTTGTTCTGTTCTCAGATGAGGGAAACAGAGAACACATTTGCTTTTGGGGAAGCAGTGGACCACAGTGGTGGGGAGGTCACTGTGCCACAGGTAGCTTGGAAAGGGACAGCAGGTGGATTGTGATGTGGGAACTGGATAGTGAGGGGAGCTTTAGGATTTAGGATGGAAAGAAAAAACCCTAAGATTGCTCCAGATTCCAGATTCTTTGAAAAAACAGATTCCTGTTTTTTCCTAATCCACCGCTGACCCTTAATGTGTCTCTTAGTTTTTCTGAACTTAATAATGAAGCTGTTTGACTGCAGAGGATTTTGTGGTTCTGGAGATGTCAGTTTAGCCCCAGGACAAGGACAGCATTCCTGGTATTGCAGCTCTAAGCAGCTGTAGGATGTGGTAGAGGATCAGAAGTTCCAGTGACAGACTGAAGTGTCTGCATGCTGTGGGATCTCAGACTAGGATCAATGATTGTGGCCTGTTCTTTGGAAAGGCAGGAATATTGACAGTCCTTGATACCATATGCCTCCTTTATGGCATGAGTAGGGAGAATAACAGTAAAATACTGTTGATATATCGCATTAACGCATGTTAGTTCAGCCATTCTGTGTCCTTCTGGATCAGCTTGTATTCATCAAGAGTTTTATTTCACAGGAGATTTTGTTCCATGCTCTTTTGTAAGGTGCCCAAGCCTTTTGTCTTTGCCAAATGTTTTTTCTTTCTTGGGTGCTAGTAATAAGTAATGTACTTTCCATTCCTCCTTTTTCCCTTTCTTTTTATTTTTCCCAGCCAGAGGTGGTTGTGCCTATCACTGTGGCTTCCCCTAAGCTCTTCCACCTAGTCCTCCACTATGTCAGCCTGGGCTCAAAAAGCTCTAAAGGGAAGATATCAGTTGCTGAGGGAAAACATATTGGCACTAATTATACTTGTAAGTGAATTAATTTTCTCACTAGGCTTCCCTGTCTTCCTCTGTCATACACCAGCATTGCCATTCCAGTATATACTTGTCTGCATGTGCCTTTTTCTTGTAGGACTTTAGTCTGGTGCTTGCATGGCTTCTAACTGTGCCTCAATTCAGCACTTTATGGCTGTTTTTGTTTATTAACTTCCATTTTTCAGAATGAAGTGAGGATAACTTTGAATGTGGAAAAATCAAACCTCTACTTATTTCGCATTATCCTGAGATACATTAACCCTGGAGGTGAAACATTGTCTGGTCACGTATCTGCTTGTCAGTCTCAGCCTGGAGCAGGTAGGTGTAACTCAGCAGCTCAACAGCTCAGATGAATGTTAGATCAGAGAAGGCTTTCCAAGGTGCACCCAAGTCAAGTCTTTAATGTTGCTTAAAAGGCATCACTTTTAACAGTGTCAGTGCTTTTATGCTTCTCCTCGTACATTTTTGCTGTGTAATTGATGTGGCTGAGTTTGCATGAAAACCCCTGCTTGCAGTAGTGATCAACATTTGTTTCTTCAAATGTTTGCCACACTTAGTACTTTTGATCCTGTATTTGGAAACTCTGATCTGTGGGTTTTATGAAGCTTTTAAAGAAGGGGTAACAACACTTTGTTTGGTTTACTTGCCTTTAATATTCAAGTTTTAAATGTGGCTTTTGCTTTCATTCCACGAGTAAGATTTGTTTAAAATGATGAACCCTGTCTACCACAAGTTAGTTCTAACTACAGATCTCAAAAATATGTGATGCCTTTTAGGCCCTAATAAAAGATAAGTACTCCATATCCTTTGAATAGTAGGGGCATACCAATGCAGAATTATGTCTTAATATTCCTGCCTTACTGAGAGGAGTAAAGTTATAGATCTTTCTGAAAATTCAAGTAAGACGAAACTGAAGACTTCACAGACACCATTCAGCAGAGTGGCAGAAGTTTGTGGTCATCACTGGTTTCTAATGACTAGGAGTCAGGGAACCAGATTTTGTCTGTGTCCAGGATCTTCAAAGAGGAAACCTTTAATATTCATAACAGTTGATCCTCATGACTTCTCTTTGACAAAGCATACCACAGCTATATTTCTGTAGGACGTAGAGTCGTAAAATGGTTTGGGTTGTAAGGGGCCTTAAAGATCATCCAGTTCCAACCCTCCTGCCATGGGCAGGGACACCTTCCACTAGACCAGATTGCTCATGGCTCCATCCAACCTGGCCTTGAACACTACCAGGGATGGGGAATCCACAGTTGGCCCATCATCTCCGCCTAGAAGTTATCTATCTGTAAGTAAACGTTTTAGATGCTACTGAGAACCTCCAGTACCTGAAGTATTTGACTGAAAGTCACACGAGAATATGAAATATGTCAGCTGAGCATATTGAGAGTCAGTGCAGAGAGAGGTTGAATGGACAATTACAGAAGGGAAAACTGAAAAAGTGACCATTTCAGAATATTGCAAAACTGGTCATTACAGGGGCAGAGCTCTGCTTTTCTGTACCAATTTGCTCAAGAGTAATAAGAATGAAAACAACAACCTCTGCATAGCTTTGTGTCTGGTCGAGTGCATTGCTAATGCATATTGACTGAAAAGCATTGGTCAACTCCTGTCAAACAAATTTCAATGGACCAAATTATCAGTCCAGCTCACTAAGCAAGTAGAGACATTTTATGCAGTCACTTATATTTTTTACTCGATTTTTTTTCTGGCAGGGGCTGCTCAGGGCAAAGAGTTTGTCTTCCCACCCAGCAAGGAGCCAGCTTTTATCACAATCCCAGGAAAAAGCTCCACAGAGCCTTTCTCACTGGCTCCAGGCACGTGGACTGTCAGTATAATGGCAGAGGAAGTTCTCTTGGTAAGAAAACAATTGAGGAAAACAACTGCTTGAAGGTTGTCATGAAGTTACCACTCTGGAGTTGTTTGCTGGGAAGAATCCTGCAAGCAAGTGAAATTCAGCACTAGTGGAAGGAACAGAATACAATTATGAAAATTCACACTTCTGCCTCTCATTTCTTCTCTGACTTTCTCCTGCTCTAATTTTTCTTCTCCTTACAGACTTTAAGTCTGTCTGGGATCTGTACCTTCAAATGATAAGGTATTATTAACATGCAGCACAAAGCATAAATACTCACAAAAATTAGTAATTTTTACATATCAGGTGTTGTGTCTAGAGCTTAGCTCAGCCAAGGCCTCAGTTTCTTGGCAAAAAATCTTCACGAGGGTATTGTAAGATGGGCTGCATTATGAGCAGGTCAATTTCTGATTGCTTTTATCCTACTATCTTCTCTCCCCTTTCATTCACCAAAAAACTGAAAAAAATTCTAGCAGCAGTTTTAAGAAATTACTTGAGAAAGAGAAATTGTTTGACATAATCATTTATGAAAAATCTTGAATATGTATGATCACAAAGACAGCATACTGAAATTCTTACATATTTTATTCAGGGATAAAAAGCAGTGTCTCTAGTCATTAAGCCTGCAGCTGTGTTAAATTTATGGAATACCACATGAAATGTTAGGAAAGAGCTTGCAAACATATTTCTTGCTGAAAGTGACAGTATTATTGTGCTGGGCTTTTTCACTAAGACCTTTGAAAAGGTATATATTAATTATCTTTGCTTATCATGTTCTCACATTAACAGTTGTTACACTTAAGCTCTAATACTTTAATTTAAGGAAGCAAGGCAGAACAAAAACATACCAGGTTTTGAAGCACATCTTAATAGGTTACGTGGGGTATTTTAATCAAGTCATCTGGATACATGAATCTCCTGTGTGGAGTCACCCAGAGTTGAGTTGTGTGCTTGTGGATTGCATGGATGGACACTGCAGGCATCTGGCTGTGTGTTACTGAGCTGCAGGGAAACTCCCTTCTCTGCACTGTCTTGTACAGCACCTGATGGGAGAGTGGCTTCAGAGTTTCCTTGATCACAGGGCAGCCACCTTCATACCGTGCTTCTGAAACTACAGGGTTAAGGAAAAACATTCTGATGTTATTCGCCCAAGTAGTAACAGAAAAAAAGCCCCACCCACATCTTGCAGATACCCTCTGTACAAATTGTTTATGTGATTGGTTTTGTTCATTGTTACATTGTGAAAGCCTGGAGATGTTCTTTTTGCCATTGTTTATTTAGCATCTGTTGTATTCTTTGTTCTTAGGATTACTTGGTGCTGTTACCAAGTGATTACTACGAGGCATCCCTGTTGCAGATCCGAGTTACAGAGCCTTGCACACATCCCAGGCCTGCTTCAGCAGAACAGTCAGTAGATATGCTACAGCATAAACCAGTGCCATGGTTTATTTTGTTGTCATCCTGCTGCGCTTGGAAACAATAATAATCCTGTGTTTTATTTGTTGTTTTTTGTTGTTGTTTTTGGTTGTTTTTTTTTGTGTAAGCTGCTTGCTCTATCAGCATGTGCCTCTGGGCAGATTTTCCTGTGTCCTTGGTTCAGAAGCAGTGCATTTCAGACATGGGGGAGAATCCAGAAGAATACCTGTGCGACAGCCAGCTCCCAATCAGCCAGTGATGGCCCATATCAGTGGAAGAGAGGTCAGATTCCTTCCTGCTAATTGCAGTCCCATCTGTGCGGTTGACTATAAACCTACCAGACTAAAATGGTTGCAGATTTACAGCTCAGGATTTTCAGATCTTAACACATACCTAAAACTGACTCTGCACCAATGTCTGCTTTTTACACAAAACTATGTAAAAATATCAGTGTAGGCAGATTTATAACTGTGACAGGAGTGGACATTCCACTCTGGCAAAAGCATTTCATTAAATAAGAATCCTTTTCCTTTAGGCATACTGGCTTGTTCAGAAAAAATCACATAATGATTTGTAGCAGAAATGGTGTGCATACATCACTCTAAATTAATATTTTTTTTCCTTAAATAGCTACACTTAGCTAAGATATTTGCTTTAGTGAAAAGCAGGCAGAAGCAATTATGCCACTGCTATAGGTCCTTTGAAAGCAAAACATGTTTTATGAAATGAGAAGATCTACTAGATGTGTGTTTGGCAAAAAGTAAGGTATTTTATCAAGTATGTGATAGTGATGTGAAATGATTGTAGCCTCTACTGCTGTGCTTGGATATTTCTTTCAAAAATATCAGGAACAGCAAGAATACTCACATGCCACAGGCTCTGGTGCTTCATCACTGATGCATGTGCAAAATTTACTGGTATGAATAATTGCAGTGAAGGCAAGAAGGCTGTTGACAGAATTATTTACATGTTTAAGTGTTTGTACCCTAAGGAAATACTGAGAAAAAACAGTTTAAATTTGAAAATAATTATGTAGTCAACTGAAGCAAAACCTTTGTAACCACAGCACTTAACTTCTTAGAGGTATTTTGCATCAAATATTGTGTTAACCACTTTGTGCAAGTAACCTTAAAGAAAACCTTGATGTTTCAAAGTGTTACTGTTTGCTGGAGAAGGTGTTTTCATTCTTTGTAGGGAATCAAAATACAGCATTGCTATAGTAGGAATTTTGTGTTCCTGGAAATATTTTTTTCAGTGGAGAAGTAAACTCATTTTTTGTATGTTGTTAAGGATAGTTTAGAGATGATGGTGACAATATTTTAGTATCATAACATTTCTTCCCTTTCTGCTGGGGAGAAGAGAAATAATAATATAGTAATTTCCTAGGGTTATTTTACAGCTTTCCTAGAACTGTTGCAATGACAGCTGTTTCTTGAACTTGTTTGATTCTTGTTAGAGGACAAAGTGATATTTATAAGCGTTGCTTGCATTCTGCTGGGTGTCTTCTGTTGAGACACTGCAGGGCTGGCCCTGGACTAATGCTGACCACTCAAAAGAGCAGGAAATGGGAGCTTCCTGCAAGAAAAGGGAGCGAAAGATTTAACTACTTTTTTATTTTTCAATTATTTTGACCCAGGTCAATTTAGAGATGACCATAAACGTTCCTCAAGTCGGTCGCTATGTTCTGGTTTTTGAATATGCCAATGAAGATGAACAGATGTACACTGCAGAGCTAACAGTACATAGCCCTGGACCTGTCACTGAAGGCAGAGTGAGAATATACAGTTGTAAATACAGGTAAGAATTTCTGAAGTAATCACTAAATTATTAAATAAGCATTTGAAATGTAATTCTACTTTGTTATATATTTGAATCCATTTTACCATGTAGATTGTTCAAATTCTGAGGTGATTTAAAAGCAAGTGCAGGATTCTGTGGATTTTGTAGAGGTTTTTAATTCTCTTTGTGCAGTCAGGTCATTAAATATTGCTACTGCTTCAATGAATTATTTTCCTATGCAAAGGGTTACTTTTTATATATCTATTCTTAAATCCTTATAAACTATTAGTCTCCACGTCCAGTGGAAGAGCATCGCTGTTGGCTGCAGATGCCTGCATTGTTTTTCTTCAGTTAAAAGTGTATCCAAGGGCTTTGGCTATAAAAAATGTAGCAGCCAGTTTTACAAGAGTATTCTCACTGTTTCTAACAGGATTTGCTGAAGCAGAAATATAAAGGTCTCTGAAATTCTGCCTGTAGTCATCCTCTGGCTGTTAGGCTGTAGGCAAGGTCTTCAGCCAAATGCTTCTTTATCCTTGTTGACTGATGAGGTTACTGCAGATGTTTCTGCACAAGAGAATTTTGCCTGTCCTGAGTGAGATTGTCTGTAACATCTGAGCACCTCAGCTTATTTTGAGCCCTTGGGAGAGCCTGCCCAGTGCCAGGGGACTACAGACATGCAGCCTTTACTCCCATGAGCCAGCTGTTTGGCAGAATGGAGGCTTAGGGATATTCAGGATGAAATTGCTCAGTAAGAAAAACAATTTTCATCTGCATGTTTGTGATACAGAGCACAGTCATGTGGAGCAGTGACCTTGCCAGGTTATTGCTGGGGAATTATCTTATTTTAGCCTGTTACATAACAGTTTGAACCCCAAACTTTTTCCTATAAATCTTCCCATTTTATTAGTTTTTTGGTGTTTTTTTTTTCCCCAAAAATACCCACATTTTTTCCCACATTTTATAGGCTGATTTTTAACATACTTGTTTGTTTATATGACACATGAGAAAAGTGTTCATGGAAATACAAAGAAAGCTCTTGCTGCTTTGATGCAGCAATGCAACAAATCCCTTCTGCAGACATTCTGCATGAACTGAATGGTCACTTTGTGAGTGAGGTGCTGTGTCATCTTTCCCAAATAGGAAGGTGCAATTCTCTTCTGATAAAAAATAAATCAAGCAATGACATAGTGAAGTACATGTAGATAACAGTAACTTGTAGAACTTGTAATATGTTGTTCCAGACTTTCTTACAGCTTAGTGAGCTTGGAAAATCCAAATAAAACATGGTAAGAGAATAAAACATCACGGGCTTTGAGCAAATAATGAATAAGGGACCTATATTTCTCTAGTTTTACACATCTTTAGCCCTGAGCTGACCTTTTTTCGTGATCTGTACTTTAAACAAGAGTGAAACTTCCACATTCTCTTGTTTGTGGAGGAGGCAAACCTGTTTTTTCACTTGCATTGAGGACTATCTCAGTGTACAGAATAGCTTCCTAAGGTCAGGCCTTGCCCAGCTGCCACTGTGTGTGCAGGAGCTGCTGATTCACATCCTCAGAGTCACATGGCAGTAGTGGAAAGGAGCAACTGGTGTGTGCTGTTTCCTCAAGGAGCACGGCCCAGGCAGGAGAGTATTAGTTACACACCATGTTGCACAGTGTGAAAACATCTGCAGGTAGCATCCATGTGTAGCTGTCTGTCCACATCCTGCTTAAGCCAGTAGCCTGGGTCAAATGGGTGTCTGAGTGAGATCTGGAGGCTTCACTCTAACCCACCTGGGACAGGCAGTGTTTTGTACATGGCAGATCCTGTGTCTCACTGGCGAGGACAGTGCATGTTCCACAGTGGCCACAGGCAGGTTAATTAGGATCCAGCAGGAGGGCTAGGTGCTGTGGCTAGCCAACAGCCAGGCAGTGAAGCTAGGTGACAGCCTAAACAATGTGGCAATGCCAGCAGGCTCATCTTTAATCCTGCTTTCTGTCTCAGTTTCCTTTGTCGCAGTGTCGTAGTTGATGACAGGAATCGCATTGCAGCCTATGACCTTCTAGCAGACACAAAGATACATCTTAAAGCATCATCAAGTCATTTTCTTCTGGTAAGTTGATGTTTTCTTTTCCCTTTGGTAATACTTGTTCCTTGATTGGGTTAACAAAGGTATTTGTCTCCTTATATTCACATTCTGTAAGGTAACGTGTGAAATTATGTATGTTGGATTCTTGACTAGACATGCTTTATGTATACCCCAGAATGCTGAGGTAGACTTGTCAAAGACAAACAGAACTTCGCCTTTATTTGCAAGGTTTTTTCCAGCTTTCTTATGCTTTATTTCAGTTCCCCTTTCTCTTCTACAAGTAAACTTCAAAGGAAATATATTCTGGTAGCTTTTATACCTAATTTTTTAATTTTCTTTTTTTTAATCTTTCATTTTTCCTGAGTCCTCAAAACCCACGTAGGAGTTTTCCATGTCTCTTACAAAATTCAGGTAATAAATGCATTTATTTAAGGTAATAAATGTATTCATTAGTCATATAGCTTTCAAGTGTTTTAAATAAAAAGCCTTCACTGACCTCTTTTGGCCACACCAGGAATATACTTTTCTGGAGGCTGAATTTTCTTACATGTTGTTTCTGTTTTCTATTTTAGAAACACAAGGTTTGTTAAAATCTAGAGCTGCAACCCAGCTAGTAACAGCTATTAGGACTAACAGCTGATACATGCTTTTTCATTTCATGAGTCAGTGTAAAATAACACCTTATACATTTTCTGTTAGCTTTCTGCAGCAACTGCTGTGCTAAAAAGGTCCAACCTTCACAATCTTTAATTGTAAAGGCTGCACTTAGCAAAATGTGGGAAAGGGGGAAAGAAGTGCTTCTGGTATGTGGACACTAATCATGAAGTCAATGGCAGCAGTTTTGGGGTTAAAGATGCTTGTGCTTTCCCTTCATGCAGAGCAGAGAGGCAAATGGGAGCCACCTCCAAGGCTGGAGACATCTGGTCCAAATAAAAGGGAAACGGGATTCTTGAGCCCATCTGTCAAGGGAGGCTCTTACATCTTGATAGTCTTTATCTCACACTGATGCAGACAAGCTGTCTAAGCCCAGATCACACTTGGCACTAACCTCTTAGCCACTCATGAAGTGCTGTTCAAAGCTTCAGTGTGTACCCTTGCTCTGCTGCAATGGCCTGAGGCCCTGTGGGTTGTTACATGCAGGACAGGCAAAATATTGGTTGCCCAGGAAAAGGGATTTTTAGTGCTCTGCCTTGTTGCTTATAAAATTTTTTTTCCCCCTGCTTACTAGTTTTAAAACACAGGTTGAACTTCGTTAGGACGTGCTTCCAAACTAAATTACATTGCGTTATAATGAATTCTCCTTAAGCAATTTTTACTTTTATTACTACTTGGTGCTAGCTATCTTATTGCTTATTGGACATCTTCAGATCCTTTTCAAGTAGTTTGCCTTATGTCCTTACCACCATGGGTACAGCAGGACTACCACAGATTAATTTGTTCATGTCTACTTCCAGTTAAAATAGAAAATACCATATAATGTTTCACTTCTTTTGAAATGAGTTCTGAATCCTGGGAGAGAAATCGTGGTGTCACTGAAACTCACTCCCATGGACTTTGCACGAGCAAGTGTTTGTGCCTGTATTTGAGAAAGTCGGGGAGTTCCCCCAGGGAACAAAAGTCTCTAACACCAGAGATGAGAGCTTTTCCCTCCTACCTCTCTACATTCCTTGCCTTTCTTCTCAGCCTTGGAGCTGGTCTTTTGTATCTCCCTTTACCACACATATATACTTACCTTTTAGTTATTTCCCTTCTGAACAGCCAATATTCCCTTGACAAGGACAGAAAAATGCTATTTAACCCTGAGGCACTGAAATGCAGGGAGGTAAAGGGATTCAAAATCTTGTGGGAGGTCCATGTCAGAACATGGCTTTGGGCTCATATCTCCCTGTGCTAAGATTAGGCTTCATCCTTCCTGTTCAGGCCTGGCCCTGTTATTTACGATATTAATTGTTGATTGTGCCTTGTGCTTGTTTTTCAGCACAAGGTTTGCATTATATCAGCTGAAGAATTTTCTCCAGAGTACGTGGATCCTAAAGTACAGTGCATAGCTGCTTACAGGAGTAACAGTGATGGAAGGTAACTTGCTTAGTTTTGTCCTTCCTATTATCTGAGGACACCCTTGAAAGGTAGAATAAGTGGTGTTTTAATTCTTTAGAGTGAAGCTTCGCTCAGTGACTCACAGGTGATTTGTAGGCCACTTCTGTAGTCTTTGTAAAGAAGCTGAAATATTAGTGTTAATCTAGACAGTCTTTGCACAGAATTTTGTTGATAACAGCCTTTCCTGGCCCATCTGAACTACCCAGTGCTGATGTGTGAGAAAACACGCATCTTTCACATGCCATCCAGTATGACAGGTGTCCAAGCTGGAAAATCATTCCTACTTTAGTGGCTTGAAATGCTTACTGTTCCTTCTGCATGTTACTGCTTTAGCTGAACCAAAATGGCTTTAATTTGTCACTAGGTGTGGTATGTGACTGCCCTTTTGGGCACAAGTCCACCAGCTCAACTTGGCATCATCAAATCATTCAACATGCAAACCCCTGGTGCCCAAACAAGCCATTCCCTTTTCCCTGTCATCGTGGGCCCCTTAGGGTAGGTGTGCCCTCATCATTCACCTCACACAGTAATGCCAGCAGATCCTTCTTCTCCATTATACTTTATAGGATCAGTAATTAGGGGACTCATGTACTGCTTGGTTGATCCAGGCTGACATCTCCTCTTTTGCTGTGAAACTCTGAACCTTGCCTTCCCAAGTGGTCAGGTTTGGGTTCTGCAGAGCATCTCCTCTGTCCTGTTGAAGCTCTTCCCCTCCCCATCTTTTGTTCTTGGGGACAGAGAGGAGCTGTCACTGCATCTTCCAAATTAGGGACCTCCACATTTCAGTGCCTGTTGCACTCCCCAGGATGTGCCTCGTGATGCCTACTCCTAAGGCTTCCTTCCTACTGATCTAGCAGTGGGAAGGGTCTGAAAATAAAAGTAAATGTCATTTGCTGGACTGAAGAGGTAAAAAGAGTTGGTGATTTGGTCTAATAGTTTTCCAAATGGTAGCTTCTAATATAATGGTTGAATTGAAACAGAAAGCAGAAAAATCTGGATAATAAATTGTATAAAAACATGTGACTGTGCTTGGCTTCCAAGCATGCATAGCATTGAATCACAGCTTTAATTCTCCTGCTCAGTGTTACCACTGAGAGCAGCTTTCTAAGACTGAAGATACTTGTCCTTGCACCAAAGTTATATTGCAAATACAGGCACTTATGTTTTGAGTAGAACAGGGAAAGAGGATGGGTAAAAAACATGATTCAAAATAAAACTAACATATTTTACTTGGGTTTTGTGTTGGGTATTTTTTAAAACTCTTGTTACATTTGTATTGTTTACTGTAGGTTTTTATTGTTATTTGGCAGCATTTTTGCTTTCCTGAAAGTGTTTTAAGTTCATCAAGTTGAAAGATGCAAAGACTTGTTTTAACAGTATTGTAAGTGGATACTGCACATGATATCCCACACAGGCCTGGCAAATACATCTCAGTTCTGGCCCTGAAACATACTTGCCATTCCAGTTCTGGACCTGTCTTGAGCACAGATTAATCATTGTCTGTTGAGTACTTACTAGAAGTGGACAAATAAAAGCAGGAAACCCCCAGAAATATTCTATTCTGCAGTCTTGGAAAATTATTTTCTCAATCTAGAATTAAATATGCCAAGGAAGAAATAGTTAAACATGGCAGTGAATGAATAAGGATGCTTTCAAGGAGTACTGTTGTTTATTTTGGCTCCGATTCTACAAATATTTGAGTATATACTTAACTTCTAAGTACTTAAGTAGTCCCATTGACTTCAGTGGGAAAACTTGCATGTGTAAAGGATACACCTATGCAAATATTTGTAGAACTGAGAATTCAATATTAGTACAGATTCTGGTGAATGTAACTAACTGGATTAACTAAAATGTATTTAATTTTTTGTGCTTGTAATTCCCAGAAGTTTTCTCTTCTGTAGCAAATTCTTTCCACTGAAACTTAAAGATATGGAAATGTTGTGTGAATAAAACCAGTTTATATATTAAAAGTGCACACTCTTTCCCCTTTATAAGTTAAATCCATACCTCTTGTTTCCATTTACTTTTTGATCATTCACAAAGAATCCAAATAGGTACAGGGGTTATTATTGCATTAGCAATTGCAGTACGGTCTAATACACTGACTTTTGTAAGTCAGCAGCTTTTCCTGTTGTGATTAAAACTTTCTCCTGGCCCCAAGGATAATTACTGTGCTTCTGTGTTTAGTGCAGCATGCATTCCCTCAGTTTTTGAAACTCCACCAGGAGCTTTGGTTTTGGATGCATTCAAAGATGGGAAGATTTCTGAAGTACAGGAGAATATACTGCATGATCCATGGAGTGCCGCTTTACCTGTTGGTTCAGTTCATGGAGTCACCTTGACACCGTTACAGGTACCTCATATTTTGAAAACTTTGTGTTGCAAGTCACGAGCTATGTTCTCAGTGAAGTTAAATAGATGAAATTCTGTAAGAGAATCATGGATAATGTGTTATGATGAGAGTGTTGCAAACTGGGTAAGCCACAGAGACAATATAAAGAAAGGGGAAAAAAAAATCCCAAACACCAGCTTCTTTCTGAACTACACAAGTCTCACAGACTGCAGAAGAATGTTAAATGTGTTCAGCAGGCAAACAGAGCATGCAGTTGTAATGCCATGTTCCTTGAAGAAATGGAACTTGTTGAGAGATGCTAAGACCCCTCTCTTTCACTGCAGGTAGGGGGCACTGAGCACAACTGATAAGCCCAAGAGTGTTTGACAAAACAAATCTATTCTGTGATTCTGTGATTTAAAACCAGAGTTGTTCTTGTTTCTCCAGAACCAGATCACCTTGAGTGGCAGAGTGCCCCACTTGGGCAGATCCGTATTTGTGGTACATTTTTATCAGCCGGCACACCCAGTGTTCTCTGTGCAAGTCTATGTGAATGCAGGACATGTGTGGTCAGGTAGGCATCTGAATTTGACCTAACCCCTTTCCTTTCTCAGCATTTTGGGATATGGAGCTGTGTTGGGTAGACCCTGGATGGGGCACCAGGTGCCCACCAAAGCCACTCTCCTCCTCAGCTGGACAGGGGAGAGCAAATACAACAAAAGGCGTGTGGGAGGAGATATGGACATGGAGAGATCACTCACCAGATACCAACATGGGCAAACCAAACTTGACTTGGGAAAATTAGCTTAATTTGTTACCAATCCAATCAGAGCAGGGTATTGAGAACTAATGCCAAAGCTTCAAACACTTTCTTTCCACCTTTCCCTTTTTCCTGGGCTCAGCTGTACTCTCAGATTTCTCTAACTCCTCCCACTGAGTGGCACATGGGTACAGTGAATGTGGGCTGGACTCAGTTCATCACAGGTTACCTCTGTTCCTTCCTCCTCAGCGAGACACTGCTCACACTCTTCCCATGCTTTAGTGTGGGATCCCTCACGTGGGAGACAGTCCTCCACCAGCTTCTCCAACATGAATAATTCTCCTGGGCTGCAGTTCGTCACTAACTGCTTCAGTGTGGGTCCATGGGGTCACAAGGCCTACCAGGAGCTTGCTCCAGTGTGGGATTCCCAGAGATCCACAGATTCCATTCGGGCATCCAGCTGCTCTTGTGTGGGTCTCCTCCACAGGCTGCAGGTAGATCTCTGCTCCAGCACCTGGAACACCTTGTCCCTCTCCTTCACTGATCTTGGCGACTGCAAAGTTGTTTCTCTTGCATGTTCTCTCTCATCTCTCTGTCTGTACCTGCTGTTGAGCTGGGCTTTTCCCCCTTTCTTGAATATGTTATTCCAGAGGTGTTACCATGGTCAGACACAGCCTTGGACAGTGTTGGGTCTGTCTTGGAGCCAGCTGGCATTGGCTCTGTTGGACATAGGAGAAGCTTCTTACAGATATTCATAAAGCCCACCCCAGTAGCCCCCTACAACCAAAACCTTCTCACATAAACCCAATGTATTTTTTCATCAGGTACTTTCAATGCTTCATTCTGCCCTCATACTTCTGGCTGTCGGGTTCAGGTGATTGCAGCAAACCAAATTGAGCTTGACGTTTCTGAACCCATGGTCTCTGTTACAGTGATGATACCGCATGGAAGAACACTGGTTCTGGTATGTGTATTGCATAAATGTACTTGAAAATGTTATTCTCAGTTTCACCATTCATTTAGAGATAGATGCAAAGAGGAAAACCAAAAAGAATAAATTTTTTAATGTTGTGTTTCAGATTTTTGAGGTCTTTTGCACTGCTTTTGGTTTTATTTTAAAGATACTCTGCACGGTTTTTGTTGTACACTGCTTGTAGCATCACAACTTTGAAGGAAGTATGCAAAGTTGATTTTCTTATTTTTGGTTAAAATCTTAGAGGTTTTGAAAAAATCCAGAATGTATAATGAAGCAACATTTAAATATGTAAATGCCTTAGCTTGTATCTTTTTGTTTTTCTCTGAAATGTACAATTTAGCTTTCTTGTTGTTTTAAGGAAAATATCTTAGTTGTTCCAGCAGACACCTACAGTTACAAAATTCTTGACAAAAAGACAGTGGACAAATCATTTGATTTTATCAGCCAATGTGGAGGAAACAGTTTTTATATTGAGTAAGCATCACTTTCTAAAAAACTGAACATTGACAACAACTGGGAATAGTATTACTTTTACTCTGCATTAAAGAGCTGTCTTAAATCCCTATAATTGTGCTACATTAAAATGCTTTTCATGGCTTGTGCTAGCCCATTGAATTTCCATGAGTCATTTTTCCATGACTTTCTATTGCAAATGCAATGTAAAGGTAGAGCTTTATTGCTCACAGTACAAAAGAGGAAAATCTATGTCATCTTCCTGTCTTTGGTATTTCCATCTTTGGTATTTAGTATTTTGCTTGGCATGTCTGAACTGATACAACTAATATGCGCTTGCTATGAAAAAAAACTCTTACCTGCATATTCAAAGCCATTCACCCCTGATTTAATTAAAGTATATCCTTGCATGTGTGCTGATGCCATCCTTATGTCAAGCTGTTTGAAAGACAGGATCCTAATTTACTGAACCACTGCAAAGCACTCTCATAACAATTCCAAATGCCAGCACTTACATGATTTATATTTCAATTTAAATAGCCCAGAACGATCATCAGCCTTCTGTAAGGACTCTGTCAGGTCACTGGTGGCTTTCTACAACAACGGAGCCCTGCCATGTGATTGCCACAGCGCAGGGGCCAGGAGCCCTATGTGCAGCCCCCTGGGAGGGCAGTGCGTTTGCAGACCCAACGTCATCGGTCGCCAGTGCAGCCGGTGCCAAACCGGCTACTATGGATTCCCATTTTGCAAGTGTAAGTATGTGCTTGCACTCCTTCAGCTCCTGACCCAGACAGCTACTTAATCCTCTGAATTTACTGCAGATGTATTGTAGCCCGACTTTTCCTTGTAGAGCCTGATCCTGTGAGAGGCTTGTCAAGCTGTTTTAGCTTCACCGTAGCCTAGCTTACAGTTTAAGGCAGAAGAAATCCCATTCCCCTAAAGCACACCTAGCTCGTGGTGAAGTGTGCCTTTGCATGTGTTGTCTGATCAGGTATGGTAGGTTTATAGCTGAACTGGTTAAAATCCATATTGCCACTATTTCAGTGAAATGGATTTTTTCTGCACTGACTGCTAAATCATTTCCAAGTTGTTAATTTTTAATCTCCTTTAACACCTTCATGGATAATCAGAGACACAGCATTTCTAATTCCTCATATTCTGATGTTAATAATAAGAACAGGTCTATAGATAACACCAACAGTCCTCAGCTGCTTTCATTGATACTGTACTTGAAGTTTATAGACACTGCTTTATGAAAGTGGTGCCCTTGACACCAAAACTACTTGTTTAATCCTTAGGAGTTTTGGCAAGTGATAAAACAATGTCTGTGGTGAAGTTAAGCAACAAATCCATGGAAAAGAGCCAAGCATTAAACCTGCTCTTTGGAACTATTGTTGCAGTCACATAGTTGGTTTCTATGACCCTGAACTTTAAACTAGTGAGAGAAAAGAGTAATGTTTTCTATATTTGAAGGTTGTATTTGTTGCATATTCAATAAGAGTTGATTGTTCTGAGATGTGATTGATTTGTAGAACAATTTCTTTGATCTAGTATGCAACTGCGGGCAGCGTCTTTGTGATGACATGACTGGTAAATGCATTTGCCCTCCACGAACTGTGAAGCCAAAATGTGAAGTGTGTGAGAAATACTACTTCAGTTATCATCCTCTTGCTGGCTGCAAAAGCTGCAACTGCTCAGAAAAAGGAATTGTTGATGTGGCAAGCCCAGAATGTGATAAAACCAGTGGACAATGCAAGTAAGTTTGGCTTATGTGTGTTATAAACAATGCATGAATGGTTTGCTTCAATGCTCTTTTCAGGTGTTTGGAGAGGGTATGGGAAATTTAAGTTATTCTCTCTTCAGTGTGAGCAAAATGGATTTTATCCATTGTGAACAGTTGTAAACTAACCCAAGCTTTGTGGGTGATTGAGTTCTTTGTAAATATTCATATGCTTGCATTTCCCCATTTTTCTGTTACCAGGTGCATACCTTGAGTAATGCCCAGGCACATCTTCCAGATATAAATCTTCTTCCAGCTCTGCTTACCTATCTTCTACATTCATGTTTTACATTTTGGCATACAGAGAAAGTAGTTCTGCACTGCAAGCACTGAATAGCTGCAGAAGTCTAATTCTATTGTGGGCCTTTTTATCCTTCAAAGTCAAATCCATTCCTAGTCAGTCCTGTGGCCATTTAAAACGTTACACTATTCAAAATCTGAGAACAACACTAACCTGCTGCTTCTTCTCCGTGGAAGTCATAAAGTTGTGTCATAGCCGTGCAATCCCTTGGAATAGCCACCTGCCTATTGTTTTATTTTCCCTTACATGCCCCATTCCTACCTTATTGACTCTCTCGTCTGTGTTTGTTGATAAAGATGCAAACCAGGAGTAAAAGGACGTCAGTGTGATCAGTGTGCTCCTGGAACTTATGGTTTCCCTAACTGTGTGCCATGTAGCTGTAACAGAGATGGAACAGAACCAGATGTTTGTGATCCCCAGACAGGAATTTGTCTTTGCAAGGTCAGATAAATCAAATTAATTCTGCATTCACAAGTATGATTTGCACGCCAGTGACTATTTCACATATAATGGGGTGAATAAAGTGAATTTATTATTAAGTTTTCAGTTAAAATTAAATGCAGCTGTACAAAACCATCACACTTTGCAGTATGTGCATTATCATGGTAACATTAAACACCATTTTTTAATGGCTTCAATATCTGTCAGTTTTACAGGTGGTCTTAGGTTTTGCAGGATGTTAGCGACCTGCAGAGTAGATGCCCACTGAATCACTGAAGCAGTCTGTACCCTGCACAGATTCACTTTATCCATCTGCATCTTGCCTTTTGGATGTTAACCAAGTCCCATGCTTTTTTTAGCCGTATTATGTCAATTGACATTTTACCACATCATTATAGTTAGGAAATCTTCTTTTGTTCTGATCTGCATAATTAAATGTGATAAATGTGAGCTTACACAAGTGACCTTTTACACTGTGGGTTTACAAAAGCCAGCAGGAGGGTTTTGGCAAGGAAGTTACCAGCTGTCTCTGACTAATATTTGTTACTCAGTGGTTTACATTTCACATTATAAACTGGAAAGAAACCTCATAAAATAGCCTCCAAGACAGTTTTATTTGCATTTGGAATATAGTCTATGCAGATAATCACGTATTTTCATTCATTTGTTTCTATACATTTAAATACATATTCTTTCAGATTTGTTTCATGTGCAGGAAGTTTTGGGGACCTCAGCAAAGCAAAAAGAAAAGCACTGAAATTTCTTTGAACTATGCCTTAACAGGAAAATGTGGAAGGTGCAGCATGTGACACTTGCAGACCAGGATTCTTTTATTTGAACCCCTCTAACCCCAGGGGATGCACACCTTGCTTTTGTTTTGGGGCAACCAGCGACTGTCACAGCACGGATCGTCGTAGAACCAAGGTGTACCAAAGATTTTTTTTCTTTTCTATCATGAACTTACACTTGTTCCATTAAGGAAATTCCAGATTTCTTCCAAAGTTGAAAATATATTTTGTTTGTTTCTAAGGATGAGAAATACTCTCTGAGCAATTCTCCAAGTGGAGATTTAGTGCAGCCTTTTTAAGATTGGGTGTATCCTGAATGTGCTGTTCAGCAGAAACGGCCCTTTTCACCTGATTGTTTGCAAGTCACTAGTGGACTGAAGTTGAGCTGGCCTTTATCTTGATTGCTTTATCTTCAAACTCTATGTCATCATTAAAGTCAATGATCTCCATCAAGATGCTTTGATAAGCACACATCATTCTACTTGCCTATGTTACAGATTCTACAGAGATTGTAAAAATTGTCTTTGTTTCCTCCCTATAAAAGAGACATGACATTAAGTGTGAGAAACAAAGATTTTTAGTAGAATAAGTGAATAGTAAAATGGCTGAAGACTGAAAAAAAAGCAACAGCTGCTTGAAAAAAGGCAAGAGAAAGGAAAAGAGAGCTAGAATGGTGGATGAGGAGTTTAGTTAAGGTTTAGACACAGACCAGATGCAATCCAGATATCCAGATTGTGCTCTTTACTGTTTATAAGCAAAAGGTAAAAATGTGGCCTAAGTGAAATCAGTAGAAAATTTCCTCTAGACATTACTTGTCCTCACCAAAAACTGTTTATGAAAACATGTCTATTTTTTGGTTTATTGCTCTGGTCAGTCAAGGGCAATCCAACAGAACCCAGAGCTCTTCTGGTACATCGTACACATTGTGCTCTCTTTCCTATAGGATAAAGATGAAAAAAAGAGGCATGGTGTTTCATGAAACAACAGCCGTAAACATAAAATGTGCATTAACGAGGCAGAATATTAGGCTACATTGCCTGCCTCTCCAAAATGTCATGCCATGTCCCCTCCCTCACAGTTAACCTGTTCCAAACTCTTAGAGGTTAGTGCCCTGGGTTTGATTTTGGAATGGATTTTAAAAAGCATCTCCAAACTGTATCCTGAGGTTTGTGTGCACAATTCCTAGTCACCCCCAGAAGGCTATGTCTTCCTGTGGCTGAAGATAGAATTTAGTTTCCAGGTGACAAACAAAATGCCTACATCCCAAGTAGCTTTGGCACATCTTCACGTTTTCACTCTTTTGAGGTCCATAAAATATCCCTTGTTCAAAGACTTTAGGCTGGCTCTGAAGTGTTTGGATCTCATGGTAAGGGAATTACAGAGGCTAAACAATTTCTTCTCATTACTTGGTGCTGGTAAAGTTTAAATAAAGGATGAGGCAAACTTTTGTTTCCTTTATGTGTTTTTCTTTAGTTTGTGGATATGAGGAACTGGCGCTTGGAGGCAGTAGATGAAAATATGGACATTCCAGTCACTTTCAATCCAATCAGTAACAGTGTGGTGGCTGATGTTCAAGAATTGCCAGCTTCTGTGCATAATTTGTACTGGAAAGCACCAGCATCCTACCTGGGAGAGAAGGTAAATGCCACCTCATAAAGAGTCATTGATAAAGAGTCTCATGGATTTTCTTATATAGGTCTCTCTCTCGTCACTCGTCTCTCTTACTCGTCATGCCCAGAATCACAGCATTTTACTTCTTAGTACAGTTTTGAAATTAACTTGATAACACGGAATTAATCATACTGCTTGGTGCCAGACAGGTGTTGTGGCTCAAATAGTTCAAATGTCTCAAGCAGCTGATACCTTCAGCTGCATTTCTGAAGCCCAGAACATGTAGAACTTGCCAATGTGGCTGCTCTGAAAACCAGAACACACAGGGCTTGTGAATTCTTTAGATACTCTAGAGTATGTCCTGGGCAGATTTCCAAAAGGATAAAAGGTGGTTATGTGCTCAGTTGCACACAAAACCCCCAACCTTTTGCTTTTGATAATGTTGCTTGAGAAGAGCATCAACTGGTTTTCTCCCCTTTGTGTTCTTTGGGCTGCTTGCTGCTCTGTCAACCCCTGCATGGGAGCAGCTTTCTGCTCCCAGTTAATGCCAGCAGCATCTCAGCCTGAGGATCACACCGACCAGGGGACTTAGCTGATGGTGACCTGCAGGAACCAAGCCTCTTTGGAGCTCTGACAGTGCCAACATTACCAGCCAGTTGCAGGACACACAGGCTTTTCAGATGCAATCCTACTGGCGCACAAGAAAAAACAAATGGTGTAGACACCAAGGCATGAAAGATGGTACCGTTTTTGAAGTTTCTCCCAGTCCTCATTTTAAAGACTAGAGCAGTATTTTTCCTCCTGCTCTTCTGTGCTCAGAGCTGTGTATATATCTCAGGTGAACAGCACATTTAGTTGGGGTGCTTTTTGTTGATATTATAAAGGTTATTGTTTCAGTGCCTACAAATTATTTTTGAAAGAAGTTTCACATTAAAGCATATGTTATCACCTACAATGTTAAACCAAAATTTAACATTTTATTGTTCCATACAAGATATAAAGCAGGCAATAACCCTTTTTAAATGCAGCTGTTAAGAGATGCTATGAGTTTTATGTTGCATAAAACAGTATCTACCTATGCCTGCCATTACTTGCTGTTATTTACAATGACAGCACTGCAAATAAAATAGTTCTAATTTGGGTCCTGCTTTTGCTGTATGCTGTGTATAGGTGTATATTTTAGCACAGGCAATACTGTAGTAATGAAAGTCCCACCAAAGTGCTATCTAGCTGTGAGTTTAAAAGTTCATAAACTTGCCAATTATTCATGTTATTGTGTTTTGAAAATGTCAGGGTTTGGTCTGCTTTCAGTGATAGCATCTCTTTTTGAAAATATGAACAAGATCACTTCAGCTATTTTTCATTATGATGAAATGTATAAATAGTGTTTTCCATTATCTGAAACCTTTTAACTGGTTCCACTGGAACATTTATATTTAGTAGAGCATATTTTCTTTCTTTTCTCTGTCTTTTGTTTACAAAGTTAGAAGGAAATCAAATGTAAAATGTATAGCAGTATAGAAACAGAGTAATTGAGAAATTCAGATCATGTTGTCCCCATTTTCTTTCATATTTTAACATTCTGTTTAATATATCACTCTTGGCTTTAGAAAATAAATACTGTACATACAAAATACAAAGGTTTGTAACACCAGTATTGTCCTATAAAAAAAAAAAAACGTTGAAAAAGAAGTAATTAAACAGCCTCTCAAATGATGCAGTTCTGAAACCTGTTAAACAGGAAATCAGCTCTAATTTGAATTTTATGGGTTTTTTTAAAATAATTTATTTATATAGAGTGGTTTGATTGTGCTGGCAAACTATAGCTAATGTTACAAATTATGCTTTTGAAAATACAGTTGGTTTAGGAGAGTAGCATTAATTATAGACCTGCGATTCAAGGAACAAATTTAGTGTTGAGATGTCAGCATTTTGTTCGTAATTCATCAGAGATATGCAAAGGGCTAGATCAAAGGTTGGTGCTTACCTGTAGAAGAGCAGAACCTGACTAGGCAGTTTTTCCATGGCAAAACCAAGGATAAGATGTGAGGGCAAATGAGAAAGATGCAAACCAAAATAGGATATCCATGGCAAATGCCTGATTTCACCTGGTACCCGTAAACCTCCCTTTGAGGCTCTTCTTGGAACAAAAACTGTCTAGGCTGTGCCTGGAGCTTCCTTTGCTCCTGGGGTGTTTTGTACTGAGTACACAGCACCCAGGGATGTGCTGCGTTTGTCGGGTGATTCAGCCACACTTTTCTCTCTGTTCTGGGCAGCAGCCCTGTGTTCAGTTGGGTTTGAGGCCACCTGTGGTCACCTGTAGCTGGTCTCAGCTCAACCTGCAGGCACAGTCTGCTTACAACAAAGCTCATACCAGTAGAAATCCTGTTCTGGAGGTAGAGCAAGGAATCCTGATTGGATCCATGTTTGCAGTAAGTTTAGAAAATGCTGGCTTTAAGCATGCTTAGTCTGCCTTCTTTTCATCCATGGCTATTCATGAGGTTCACCACCACTTTCACTGTCAGTCAGATGTCTGTTCTTGATGCAAATCTTCTCTGTAGTCAGGGGAAGAACAGTGTTCATGTAACCATGTGATTTCTCCACGACACAGGTGGTGTGAACCCAAGTATGAAAAAAACCCCATGATGCAGGTAACCTTTCAGAACACAGTATCTGCTCATGTGTCAGATACACACAGTAAACAAAATAGAAAGTAACTTCTTCCAAACAACAATATTTTCATATTTTTTCTAAAGAACAAAGAGTAAATGTATTATTTATAGTGCTGGAAGGTGAGATAAACTGGAATAAAAATTTATGTTAATATCAAGCATTAGAGCAGTAAAGTATCTCTGGTCTTGTGCATTTTGTTACAGCTTTCTTCATATGGTGGCTTCCTAAGTTACCAAGTGAAATCTTTTGGCTTACCTAGTGAGGGCATGGTTCTTCTGGATAAGAAGCCTGATATACGACTAACAGTAAGCTTTAAAATACAATTTTTTTCTTATAAGCAATACAATACCATATTTTTTATGTTACTTAACAACTGTGGCAAATTTTGCTCTTATAGTACTTAACTATTAAAAGATTATCTTAACTATTAAAACTATTACCTATTTCTATAAAAGTGATTTTACTGCATTTTGCTCAAAGCCATCAACACATCTGTCTCTGTTGCCAAAATAACGTATTATTAAGCATAACTGATTTGAGAGCAAGTAAAAAGATAAAACAGGATTTTCTCTGTAGAACATGCCTGTGGAAAAAAACATTAATTAATGCATTGCACACTTGTCAACAAGTATGGCCTCATCTCTGCAAGAGGTGCCCTGGGTTTCATGTGTAGTTAATCTCATTTTCTGTGAGATTTTTTTATTTCCAGCTTAAAACTAAACATAATTATAAGGCTTCAAGGGACTGGAAGAAAAATGCACTTTAGGTTGACAGTTTTTAAATGTAACCACTTTAGAGCCAAAATACAAATTTTTAACTGTTGAAATTCTCAAGAGGGTGCTTTGTTTCCTCACACCGTCAGAAATACTAATTCAGTGTTCTAGGATTCTTACTGGGAAATGTACCTCATAAACTACTACCATAATAACCATAGTTGCTGATGCACCAGGATGCAAAGGAGAGTGTTTCAAAATGCAAAATAATTTTTATTCTAAAGTAATTAATAGTCCCTGTGAAAATCGACTAGCATCAATTTGATTCTCCTGGTGTTTTACTTGGAAACAAGGTTGTTAATAGGCAAAAGCATTGAAAACCTTGCTGGCACCAGAGCACAGTGCTCACTGTACTACTTTCCTAAGAAAAAGATGTACAGTTTTCGTAGCATCACTTAGTTTTAATCCCCTAAACAACAGGATTAATGTGCTTCACCAAATTTTATTGCATCTGAACACTTTCCCATAACAAGTAGTGAAGAAGCAATGTTATAACCTCATTCTCACACAGGGCAAACAAATGGAAGTTGTTTATATGGATCCCAACAACCCACTGCCTGATCGTCAGTATTATGGCCGAGTGCAGCTGGTTGAGGTAAGAACTGAAAAGGGAATGGCCTTCTCTTTTCCTTCCAGATAAAAATACACGCATGCAGAGTATGTGCAGAAATACCAAATACTTGGTAACAGTGATGAATATTAACTTAAACACTGTAGACCTTAAATGCAAAGAACATTTTTTATCTCTCTTTACTGCCAAACTGAACCTGGGTTCTGGTTCATGACACCTAATTTTAGCACCTCTGGGTTGGGCATCTTGTCCAATGTAGCCCTTAGCACTCCCCCCAGGGCTGGTGGAGTAATGTTGAATCAGTCCTCAATAGAAGGTGATTCATTGCAGCCACAGACTCTACATAATAGGGATGGAATGAATTGTTATTTGTTTTCCTTGATGTCTAGGTACCTAGTTTAGAATGGGTTGTCCAACACTGAGGTAGAACAGAATTCAGCAGGTCAAACTGTGTTGTTTTTTTCATATGCAGGCATAAAAAAAGATGTTTTTTCAAGCCAAGTTCAATTTTCAGCAATGCTGTATTTATCTGCAGCAATAAAGCCCTACAAAATTTGGTTTCTAGCACTTCACTTACTCTTATAAATAAAAACATTTTCCTTCACATTTTTGTGGGTGATATCTCAAAGAAATTTGGATGACTGAAGAGGAACCTACAGGCCTCTTTTTTCAATACCTCAAAGCCATATTTACCTTGCACAGTCAAAGCTTTCTTTATGCTCATTCTTTTTCCACCCATCCTGTGTCTACTCTCCTGGATTCTATTACCCTACACCAGTTGGCACTGGACAAGTCTATTCCATGGGTGTTTTCTTCCTTTTTCTGTCCTCTGGTCTTCTTTGAAGCTACTTTTTTAAAGCAGCTGTAGCATTGTGCTCATTTTGTACCCCTTCAATGTGCAGGGCAACTTCAGACACACCAGCAGCGGTAAGCTGGTATCCCGAGAAGAACTGATGATAATCCTGTCCAGGCTGGATGGCTTGCACATCCGGGCCCTTTACTTCACGGAGACTCAGCGCCTGACGCTTGGGGAGGTCGGGCTGGAGGAAGCCACCGGCGAGGGCAGCGGCAGCATTGCACACAGCGTGGAGACATGCGCCTGCCCGCCGCAGTACGCCGGTGACTCATGCCAGGTAGGAAACATTCTGCTCTCCACACCGTGCCATTATCTTCTGTCTTTTGCCTACAGCTGTATATACTGTGTTAGTTAGAGGAGCAGGATGGTTGTTAAAGTAATTAAGAGTGCTTCCTGTACGCCTGTGCACTTTCAGTGGTTCAAGTGCTTTCACCATCAAAGAAGCACTGTGGGGTTGTTCTACTCGTGATTGCTTTTATGGAGCTACACACGTAATTTTGCATATGTAAGGCACTATAATGAGGGATTCTTCTGCGGTGCCCTCTGAGAGGCTGAATAATCTCCTACTTTAATGGAGAGAAAGTCAGAATTGACTTAATCGAAGTCTATGAGACTGTACACAGTAGAGAAGATTCCTGGTGTTTCTTACTTTAGCAGGATCCAAGGGAAGTAGCATGCATCCAGATAATTCGGGATACTCTTGGTGTAGAAAAATATGTGAAATCTGAAATTAACATATTTGCAAAAAGCATTTGGAGATGTTTATGAAAGATAGTGTAGGCTTTGCAAAGTAATACTATTAGCTGAAGACTGGCAATATAGCTGTATATCCTGTCCCTGATGCAGTTCCTGTAGCTGTAATTCTTTTGGTTGTCGCTTTGCTTAGCTTAGAGCTCGTCTGCTGTCATGTGTAAGCACCCAATGCAGCAGAATAAAGCACCAGGGAGATAAGCCATATACAATGTGCACAAAATATGAGGAATTACTCTCAGAAAATGGCTGAGCATTACCATAAAGTAGCAATTGCTGTACTAACCTTGCAAAAGCTTTTTGAATTGAGAGTGAATGAATAATATCTGGGCTGGAGCAGCTGCAGAGAGACTGAACAAAACCATGTATGGCTGCCTTATATTTCATGTGTGCATCCACTGCTCAGGACAGCTAATTCATCATCTGCAGAATAACCATTTTGGAAATATTTTTGATTTTTTCACACTTCTGTTGCTCTCCGCCGCACACAAATTGATGACCATTGACTGAAAATTCTACTGCCATCCCATTGCTTTCAACACACTGCCTTGGTTAAACTAAGCTATTGTGGTTTTTTTAATGTAACCTGGTGAAAATACAAAGCCAAAGGAAGTGATCAAGACACTCAAGGGGAAGTTCATAAGCCCTGTGTGTTTATGCAGCATTACTCAGGCAGTGATTTACTGCCCTAATCACCAAGCTCTGTCTGGCTGCCTTAGGTGGGGAGGAGGTGATGCCTGCCACACCCTGACTTAGGTATATATTGAGCTACAGGAACTGCGGAGTTACTTGTTAACCTCAGGAACGGTGCTGTGAGCGACTTGACTCACGGATAAAGTTTAAAGGTGGGGCCCATCACGGCACAGAACCTCATTAATCTGAGTCAGAAGCTGGAGAAGAAAGGGGCGTAATAAGAGAAGGAACAGTGAACACCGAAGGGGGGGCAGCAAATGTTCGCAGGGGAGCCAAAGTAAAATGATGGCCCAAGCACAGAGGCCAAGAAATGTAGGGTGGCTGGCTGTCACTTTAGTGTCCCTTGGGCACTGTCTAGCACAAGATATACAGCAGAGGCTCTCCAATCCCCACCTTCAGGAGAGAAGTCAGTGGCAACAGGTTCAAATGGATTTTTATCTGAGAGAGGTAATTTGCTCATTTTTTCTTCCTCGCTTCCTTTCTTCTTTCACTTTGTTTTTAAATGAACTAATTTGGTAACAACTTATATATTACCTAATATAGAAGTAATGAGAAGATTAATCTTTTGTCTCCAAGTACTTTACTAACAAAAGTGTGTACAAGAGGTTTCTTTTAAATTGTTATTTACTTGAAAACAGTGATCCTAAAAAGCACTTGAAAGTGCCTAGAGCTTTATCTTCATGTGGTATCAATTTATCATTTGTGTGGAATCACAAATGCTGCTTCAAAAACAAAGTGCCCACGTACTCCAAATGTGTCATTTTAAAGATAGCATAAATAGAAAAACAAAAGGCTGCACAGACTTTTTTTCCAAATGCAATTAGATGTATTTTAAAAATGTTTGATTTATTTTTCTCTCCAAAAAAAGACTTTAAGTAAATAAAATTTATATGCATTAGAGCATATAGTAGTCATGCAGTTTAATGTATTTCAGGCCCTGGTTTCTTCTGAAGCTGTGTTATACTGGTTCCCTGTTGTTCAAGGAAAATATTCACCCTTCAAAAAATGTATCTGAAAAACTTCAGCTGTCTATTCTAAATATAGTCCTTGCTCACAATGAAGTCAGTATTCAAAGCTGTTGATGGTATTAGTATTCTGCATACTTCTTTTTTTTTTTTTTTTTTCCCCAATTATCCTACATGTAGAAAAGGCAAAGGTGTTGGTAGTGATTCCTGTTTCAACAGCAGTAGTTCAATATTCCTTTTGGGATCTGCTTTGTGAGAGATGAGTATTTTTTTCCCAGTGATAGTTCTATCACTGAAAAATTATCTCGTTAATCCTGCCTCTGCATAAATTCTTATACCTCCAACACTGGAACGTGATCTGTGACAATCCCACAGACCCTTTGCTCTCCAGATCGGTTCCATCAGTCTTGATGTTGTAGTTACTATGAGAAAAGATTTATGGCTGTAGAGTTCAACTGTCGCTTGTTTTCTGCATGTTGCTGGGGCCAGCCCCTGCCCGTGAGGCAGAGGCTCAGCATAGGTACAGCTCACAAGAACATTGCTGGAGGCAGGAACCTGGGAGGTGCTGGCTTCGTGGGGAGCATGGCTTTCTCCCCGCTTCTGTAAGCCTTTGATCCTCCCTGCACCACACCAGCTTAGTTCCTAGGGGAATTGAGCTGCAGAATAGAAAGGACAGACTGATGTCCAGTCATTTTTAGTGTGGTTGGTGTGCCCAGAGTATTCCAGGAGAAGATGGGTGTGAATTATTTTATCTGTATGCAGAAGGGCTTCCTGCCCAGGAAGAATTCCTTGTGATTTTTCTGGTCATGCCAAGCAAGAGGCTGGTTTTAACATATTAGTTACTACCTCCCTGCTGTAGGTGAACAAACCTGATGTCTCTTGCTTCATTCAGAATGTCCCTCTAGTTCAGCTCCCTGTTTAAATCCAACTCTGATCTGACAGGCTGTGCTCCTGCTCCTGTGCCCTCAATAGTTGGAACATTCTTCTCATGCTTCCCCAGTCTCCAGGGCAAGCCTGTACTTAGAAATTAGACCACTGTGTGTTTTGTTACATCACCTAGCTATGTCTAGGTGTGGCTTTAGCTCTTGGTAGACTAAACTGTGGAAGTCGTGATGAATGTATGTAAAAGGTATCCAGAACTATTTCCAAGGAATACACTGTAGTGAAATCATAATCAAGATATAACCACTAATTAGTATGTGAGATTTCCAGATGTTCTTCTTTAGATTGACACTGCCGTGTTCTCATACTCAAATATTTTTCTGTGGTTTAGAAATCGTATTCTACACCTTTGTACATAGCCACAGGAAACGAGTTTTTCTCCAAGATTAGAGTCAAAATGATTAAATCATCACTGCCAAAGTGCCTAAAGCACAGGGTTCAGATGATCCTTTCTTCATCTCCATTAATTGCTATTTACTGCATTAAAAAATTTAAACAACATTGTGAGCTTAGGAGAGATTGAAAGGAAATTCATGCCTTCCCTACTCCTTGGAAATGGCAAATGTTTTCAAAATACACTTCCTGTAACATGTAAAACTTTCTACCAATGCTCACCAATTTTTTTTCCTTCTTGCTGTCTAGGAGTGTGGCATTGGATTTTATCGTGAGAATAAAGGACTATTTGCTGGACGCTGTGTGCCCTGCAACTGCAATGGAAATTCAAATAGATGTCAAGATGGTACTGGAAAATGTATTGTAAGTATTTAGTAACCTTCAGTAAATTAATGGGAAGAAAAGGAGAAAAAAAAAAAAATTCTTGCTGCAGTATGGACCCCTACAGTATTGTTAAATTCCAAGCAACTAAGAATAATCCTTGTATGTCTCATTCTCTAAATTTTATATTGTTAATGAGCATAAAATGTGTACACTTAAATGTACCTTTAATGTAACTGTGGTTCATTGGAATGATTTGTATCCTTTTCTTAATTTTTATCTTTCCTCTGCAATTTTTATTAGGTCATGGTTACAAAAAAGTCACCAAACTTGTACGTAAGGAAACATTTGTAGTTATTTATAATAAACATGGGTCTTATCCTGGCATATGCAGTCCTGAGCTTTATGCAAATGTGGCAGGATATATTTGTATAATGATGACAAACAGAACTTTCATGCATAGCATAGGCTTTGCAGAATCTTGTTTAATCAGCTTCAGTGCATCTCCGCTAATCATAGTCTACAACTAGATGGGTTAAAGAACATTGAATTAAATAAGATGAAATAAAAGTAATAGAAGTTAGATTAATTAGAATATTTCAGCTGTTACAGAAGATCTGGTGGGGTAGATTTTGCTCCCTGGCACACTGTTTTAAACCCAAAGCAGCCCCATGAGGGTGGATCAGCCCTCAGCAATGGAAGTGTGACACTTGGCTGACTGTGCTTCTCTAGTTTGTATCCATGATGCCTCTTTGAATAGTTTGTCCTGAAAAATTCCCCTTTTAAGAGTTTTCACTAATTTTTCATTTACTGTGTAAACAAGAACCTTGCCAACATCTTTCATGGTCTGTCTTTTCTGTTACTTCTTCCTTGTTAGCAGTGCATCCATTCTGCCTGCGGTGCATTCCTGCGCGTTATGTCATTCTCCCCGACTTTGTTTCAACCAACTGTGTTGCTTTAATGGAAACTATAAACCAATTCAGCACATTCTGGGAGATGACTTACAGGCTGCTGCTTTGGAGGGGCAGGGCAGGCCATGACAGGAAAGTGCTGCAGCACAGCAAGAAAGATCAGGAAGTTTCACTTCAGATTAGAATTATGAAGGCAAATTTTACTTTCACCTCATGAAGTATGTGATCTAGGTTTTTCTTTATCCTGTCCTTCTCACAGCTGGATTAACTTTCAGATAGGCAGAGCTAAATCAGCCCTTGGTCCCAGGCAAGCAAAGTCATCCAGAATAATGTGGTGAAAAATGAAAGCCCTGAGGGCCTTTATTTCCACCATGAACTTCTGCCTAACCAAGAGCAACTTTGTCTCTCTGTAGAGGAGCCACTGGACAAAAACCTGACATGGTGCAGGGAAGACAAGGAGGCTTCCCACTGTGGAGCCATCAAGTTCCACATCCAAAGTGCAAAGCTTGTTCACTTGGCTTCCTGCTCCTCACCTGGAGCCCCAGACCCAAGTACCTACATTTGTCTGTGTCTCTCCAGTGGCAGCTTCCAGAGGTGGCTTTGTGAGGGAGGCTAAGCCCAGGCTGGCTCCTTCCCCTGTGCAGCAGCACGGCCCTCCCTGGCTCAGGCAGTTGCTCTCCTGCTGCTGCATGCTGGTGGAAGGAGAGGAGTGCACTGCTGTGCTGCTGGAAGCAAGTAGCAATGGAGGGCTGGAGGAGGTGGAGAAGACTGAAAACCTTGGTCCTCATGTGAAGGGAAAAAACATTTTTTTGCCATTAATCAGGCTTTGTGTCCTCGTGGTCCCTGCCCTTCCTCCTGGAAGGCACATTCCCTCAGCAGCAGCATGGTGCTGAGACTTGCTTTCCCCATGGCATGTTGCTTCATGTCACGGAGCCCCATGTCCATGGGTTTGACGTAACCTCAGTGGTTCTGCTGTGCCCTGACACACTCTGCTCTGACTGCCTTGTACTGTGTGGGTGCGCTTGGGGTCAGCTGGAAGTTTTCCTTTAGCTTTGGAGATGCTTTGGAGATGCTGTGACTCCAGGGGTATCTCTGACCCTGTAAAACTTGAAGGAAGACCCATGAGGGAGTTGCTGCTCTGGCTTCATTGCACTGTGCCTAGGGAGCTCCAACCCTTATATGCCATGTAGCTAGAGGAACAGCATGGCACATTTAGAGTGTCTTATATGTGAAATAGCTGAAATTTTCTTTGCAATTACAGAATTGCTTCAGTTTCTATAGACAGAGTGAGCAAAACAAAAAGCCAGGAGATAAACTTGTGGGGGTGGGAGGAAGTTGCTCTAAGATGAAACCAGCACATATATTTTAAATCCATCTCTTATATTCTTTCTGCAGTTGAATTTATAATTCAGGTTTATAAAAATTGACAGAAATTTTTCAGAAAGAGTCTGAATTTTCCATTAGGCTTTTGCAGGAACATACGCAGCAGCTTTTATAGAGGCCGCATTTCAAAATTGTTTCTTTTGCAAACATAGTGCCTTTGTGATATTTGGTGTTTAACTTCATGTCAAATGGCTCATATGGGAGCTGGAACTTCTCCTGTTCTTCCCCAGAGCTTTTTATAAGTGAGCCACAGATTTAGTTCTTTAACCAAAATGAAAACAAATTAGGGGTGACCACCTGAGGAAAGAGCTCGTGGTTGAGGGAATCTGGTGTGAAGAAATGTGAAGGAAAATGGAGTTTTAGAAGAGAAGGGAGAGACAGAACTATTTCTCATTTGTAGGGAAACATGACCGTCTTCTGCCAGTCATGGTAGTAGGGTCTTCAAACATAGCCTTGAGCCATCAAGGTCCCTGAAATAGAAGCACAGTTTGCTTCCAGCCAATTTCCTGCTTTCTCTTTCCCATCTTTTACTCTGTTAGTAAACCTTCAGCTCAGTGGAACATTTGATCAGTCTGTTGCACAGAAGACAAGCAGTTGTAGAACTTCGAAGTGTGAATGCCTCTTGACTGTTAGTCATTTGGAATTTTTCTTACAGCTGCTTAAGTATTTTTATGCTGCTTATGTATTTGAACAACTTCTATTTTAAATTAGCAATGCTTTAGGTAATGCAAAGGCAACTTCCTCATTCTGTACCCATAGAATACAAATGTATGACAGTTAGACAGGAGTATAATTAAGAATGTTTCTAAACCAAAATACAGTTCCCAACAAAGTTATAATGGAAAAAGGGGATCAGCTTCAATTGTATTCTTAGCTTTTGCTTTCTATTATTTATTCCAGTTACTACAGGAAAATAAAAGTAGCATGTACACTGGAGAAACTACATGAAACTCAATTCTGGTCCGAATCTATTACGAGAAACAATTTTTGTATTTATTTAATGAGATTTTTAAAGGAATGTACTTGGGCTAAGTTGATTGCATGCTTTTAGATTATATCTCCCTTTTAAGTAGTGTTAAGATGCAAAATTTCAAGTTTTATATAAATGTGATTTTTAATTGTAATATGAAGACATAGAGAGCATTAATGGAATGCTCCTTTACTAACTATGTATCTGGTTGAGTTTCTTTAAAAATATGAATTCAACTTATTTATCTGTTGCTTTTCCACAAGAGGGAGGAAATTTTGCTTTGTACAGTTAGAAAATTGACTGAAACTGTTCAATCGTAGTTGAGAAGGCAGTTTGGCAATAAATGCTTGATTATGTGGAAGGAAAAGAATATGTTCTCCAAGTAAATAGGCTGTATTTTTTTAAAATAATAGTAAAGCCATATTGAGTGATAAAGCACTGCTGAATGTCTTGCTCATTTCCTTTCCAAGGACTGTCAGTATAATACTGCTGGGGAGAAATGTGAGCACTGTAAAGATGGTTATTTTGGAGATGCCACTCAAGGTTCCTGCCGGGAATGCCCTTGCCCATATACAAACAGGTACAGTAAAAGCTTGTAAGGAGAGACAAAAAGGGGAGGGAAGAAGAAAAAGGGGGGAAAAAAACAGAGAAAGAGAAAGAAAGAAACTCCCAAAGTTGAAACTCTGCTACCATAGGAATATAATGACCTTCTTCTCTGTTCTCATATTGAGAACTTGGTGGTCTGTCTCACAGCATTGCCTTTTTTAATAAGCTGAATGTTCCAATGCTTATTCAGATCCTGAACTTCAGAGGCACACTGCTCATAGCCTTGGGGAGCCCCAGACTGTAGAAGTGGGCTTTTTTTCAAAACCACTAGTACTTTCTTCATAGTGAGAAATACACAATTGAGGTCTTTTTCCTTACTGGGCATATCCAGAATCTTTCTTTTTTACTGGAATGCAAGATGTTTAACACCATTACTCTGGCTAGGAGATAAAACAGTGAAACAAGCCTTTTGTAGGAATTCGGAAAAATTATTAAGATGCAAAAATAATATAAAAACATTCAAGGTCTTAAACACATATTTAGAACTCTAAAGAGTATGGTTACTTTTCCTGTGAAAATTCTGTTTCAAGTGCAAGCATACTGAGATAAAAAGTGAAAAAGTGAACCTTCCTTGGTTCTTGTAAGGTTTCCAGGCTTTTAAAATTGGGCAGTTACTTGCATTTCAAATGCATGGTATGTTTAGCCAGATTGTCATCATTGGTCAGTTCTGAAACATGGTAAATAAAATCAAATTTTAAAAAACCCTCAATCCCTAAGCTATAAATTGCTAAAGGCACCACACAGTATTTGCCAGGTGCATTAGCACACACCACATAACCTTAAGAGATTTACACCATCAGACAATAGACAGGTTTATCATTTATCAGAGAACTCTCTGATAGATCTGGTTTTGACAGCCTCTTCTGCAGGTGCTTGCCTGGGGCCGACTGAACATGTTTTTAGTCATCGTTTGCTTTCAGAGTTCTGAAATATCTAGGGAGACCATAAACCTTTGCAGTTTCGTAACTGCAGATTAGGGTGGTGAATATCATTCCTGACATAGGAAATACACCCCATCTGGCATTACTGGAGCTAACAGTTTCCCATCTAGTCACATTCCAGTAATTCTTAGTGCAGACCTCTCTCTTTGATACACAGACTTACTTTATCCAACTGTTCATAGATTAAAAATGAAAATAGCAAACATGTCCCTGCTTCACCTCCTGCCTTCTCCTTCGCAAACATTGAACTTTGAATTGAGACAAATCTGCTTGAAAAAGCAGGGGAAAAAGTTCATTGTGTTAACCAGACCCTTGGGATCCCAAAAATTGTGCACAACTCTACTTTGCCTTCATTAAAAATATGCTAAACAACATTAGTTACATGAAAATATCCTTTAATGTTTTCATCCATTAAAAAGAAATGGAAAGAAAAAAGAGACGAGAAAGAGAATGAGAACCATGTACAAACATGAGGAAATGTTGTCTAGAACAGGCTGTTGATTCTTGCCTACTAAGATAAAATAGCTACCTAGACTTGTTTTATAACATCACTATTAGGGTTTATTTTAGGTATTCCTTTGGGTAGTGAACTATTATACTTAGTCCACAGGGCCAAGAAATTATAAATTTTGAGTCTAAGAAAATGATTTGCACAAAAAAACGTGGAACTTCAAAGAAATAGTCACGGTAAATTATCTAGAGGCAATTAAATTAGCTGAGAAGTAATTTGCTGGTGTAAAAACTTTTTAATCTGAAAATCATTAAACTGAACCTCTAGAGTATAAAACCTATTTGATCATGTGTTCACAATAATATTTTTGCTTCTTCTCAAAGGTTTGCAACTGGCTGTGTGGCAAATGGTGAAGAAATCCAGTGTCTCTGCAAAAAAGGTTACACTGGAGCTCGCTGTGAACGGTGAGTAACCTTTTTCTCAAGAGTTTTGAGAGACACGATAAAAGGAGGGCTGTCTGTATTGGGACTGACACATGTGGACAGATGGACATGCAGCCATGCACAGTATGCACATCCATAAGGAGTAGCTGTTTATATGAACAGCTACTAAAGAGTGGTGCTGTGGTGTAATTCCAGTCACAAACCCAATGCTCCCTGGGGAAATGTAAGCAATTCTCCAGACTACTGACTGCACCATTTTTACTGAAAAGAGGCGTTGGTCTCTTTTACTAAGTACCCTATGCCTTGCCTCATCCTGCACTGTGGTAATAATGACTCCCACTTAATTCACCCCTTTTCAAGTTAAGAACTTTTTCCCATTTCCTCCAGTGTACACAATGGTGCCTCAATAGTCTTATCCAAGAGCAACCATGTAACATTTAGCACCATACCCTTCATCCCAAATCATTCTGATCTGCTCCACAGTTGGAGCTTACACACACCAGGCTGAAGCGATCTCTTTTGCTGGAACATTGCAGCAGTTTGGCAGAGCAAGAGAGGAACAGCATGGCAGTTTCAGGCAGGCAGAGGAGCCAATTTCACTGAGTTTCAAATCCAGAGAGAACTGAAGTGTAATGGAGTGGTGTTGTCTGGTTTGGAAATTTGAAGCTAATAAGTCATGATGTTGCATCTGAAGACAGGACCTGCAGTGGAACATGGTCTTGTCCTTCAAGACTGGTGCCTTTGACCCTGTCTAATCTGTGGGTTATAGATATTTTCTCTTCCAGGTGTCGCTGTACTTCAGCTGCTCATCATGGCCCTTTGATCCTACATTATCACCTTTATAGGTCTTACCACAGAGTGACTTCTAGGAATGTTAGCTATCCAGTCTGAACAATATATTTTACCTTTAAAATATTTAGAGATCAGTCACACAGACTGCTTTGCTGGCAGGAGGGGGTATCACACAGCAGAAGGGTGATGATGTCATTCAGTGCTGTTGCTGTTTGAAATCTCAGCTATGCATGCAAGCTACTGATCCCCCTTAGTACATGTTTTCTGGTGGGATCACAGGCCAGAATGGTATGTTTTGCTTGGTCAAGCCTTGTCAAATTCTCTATGTGTGTATGTATTGGTGTGCATTGTTTGTTTTTTTCAGATGAAGTGAATTATTCCTGCAAGAGCACTGTGGGAGTTCTTTTATTTTTAGAAAAAAAATTCTGCAGTGCTCACAAAGATATTTTTAGCATAGTGCAGAGGATATTGTTAACCAAAAACATATTATTTCTGTCTAAGTCAAGACATGAAATCAAAAGTTCTTGAAAGTTTCTTCAGGAGAATAACTGGGGTTTTATCTCAAGGGAAAGTATATTTCACAAAATTTGCTTCAACTATTTAATAAAAAATACTTGTATCTGTTTATCTAGCTGTGCTCCTGGATATTTTGGAAATCCACAAAACTATGGAGGCTTCTGTCAGGAATGTAACTGTAATAATAATGGACAGCTGGCTAGCTGTGACCACCTGACTGGAGGTACGTGAGGGCCTGTGAATGGAGCATTGTTCTGAATGGAAGGGAGCATTGTTTTCTCTTTGGGAAGCAAAGAAGGAAGGTACTTGGATAAGCTGAACTGAAGGAAATATCTAGACTTACAAGAAATGTAGATAATTTTTTACAAAATGTAAGATTTCCTAAAACAAAACACAGTAGTAATAGAAGGGCTGTCCTGAGTCATCAGGTTAACCCTTCTAAATGGCTTTGTCCTGTATTTCCCTTCATAAATACTGCTGACTTTATTTTGTTTTTGTTTCATGGCAGTGTTTTTAAATATATCATGGTTCCTTTGCTGACAGGGTTAAATTATATCCTGGCAGTCTGTGTTATGGATTTAGGAAACCGAGCATCCTCAATATGCCTTTTTAAAATGTATTTGGCACAGTTTAGTGAAACATTCAGAGTCTGCATCAGGCACTGCCATCTTAGGTATCCAAGCTGTCTGCATTTACAGTGAAAGTTAGAACCTGAGTCAGGAGGGTCTTTTATAAATCATGCTACACTGCTTTTCTAGCTAAAACATCCATGATTTCCCAGAATCAGTCACACGTGTACTTCACTACTAGAAAGCTCTTACAGAATTCCATGGACATATGTTTGCATTATCTATTAGAATTCTGAAGTAAAGGGCCTGATCTTACATTCCTTAGAGTGTCTTTACCTAAATTCACCTCTGTCCTTTGGGATGCTCCTCTATATTCAGAAACACATAGGCCACTGCTCCTGAAATGTCCTTGATTCTCCCATATTTTCATTCACCAATAAAATTTCACTTTTCCTTCCCTGTAGACAGATTTTATTCCTCATATGCTAGTGAAATTTCCAACTAATAACTCCAAATATTTCTATACTCTTAATTCCTCTGCACTGCTGTTCATCCTGCAGTCTAGAAACTGCAAGGAACCCATTGTCTTTCTTTGGCCACAGAAATTAGGAAAACAGCAAGTGATGTGAACTGCAGCTGGTGTCATTTTTCAATTGCTTGTTCTCATTTCATATTTCATCATTGAAGTAATACATCTTTATTATACCTTGTATGGAACAGATCCAAGCAGATCTAGTTAGATGTTTTATCATTCCTTTCTTTTTTGAAGCAAGAGTTTGCTAGGACAAACTAATCCACAGGGCAATATTCAACAAACCAGTTTGTTTTCCTCCAACTACCCATCCTGATCAGCCTGATCTCTTTCTCTGCATTAGGAATAAACCCCTCTGTGATCATTGGTACAGCATGTTCTAGCAGGTTCCTTTTGCGTGATGTTCGGCACTTGGCCAGCACTTTACCACTTCTTGGCTGATGTTGTTGGTGCACAAACTGTAATAATAGTTTTATTTAATTGGTATTTCACAGTGACAGCTGAAATGTGCCAGCTATTAGCTGAACTACGCAATGGCAGAACTGCATGGATATTTGAATCTCAGAGGAATTTCCTTCATTCTCTTAAAAATATATTATGATTTGTCTCCTTTTGGCAGCAGCGATCACTACCAATCCCGTTTAGCTTCCTGATGACTTAATGTGCAAGTGCCAAAGGAAATGGCACAGCTAGACAGTTTGTTCCAGGCTGTTTCATGCTGCTGGTAAAGTTCAGGTCCAATTTTATCACTGTATCACAAGTTGCAAGCTGTTGTTGACTCTTGACAGTGGCAGCCTATACTGAGTGCATCCTTTTCCATTAGAGTAAAAGAATCATTAAGGTTGGAAAAGATTTCCAAGATCATCAGGTTCAATTTTTGACCAAGATGCACGGCCTTTTTAATTTTCAAGATGAGATGAGAGCTTAGCAGTGGGACCAGGCCTGTAAAAGGAACTTGGGCATCAAGATGGGGAGATTCCTGTCCTATATGATGGCATTTTTAGGAGCCAGTTCCTCTCCTGCATCCTAGAAGTTGGGATCCTAGGATGTTACTCCACAAACACCTGGAGACTGTTCAGCTTCTTATAACAGGGTTTGTAGAAACCAAACAGAAGAGTGCATTGGACAGAAAGTCACCTGGGTTGGCTTGTTGGCAAGTCTGAGGATAATGTTTGTTACATATGACATGAGTTCATGATCCAAGCTGCATGCCTTGTCTTAGGTACAGTGCCTCCATCCAGGCACACACTGTAGATTTCTCTCAAGCTTGATTAATACCTTAATCTTGCAAGCTGTGACAGGCATGAAGGGAGGCCATAAATATTTCTCAGTTCCTTGTGGGTAAGGAATTCTTTGGGGAATCAGAACCTGTGGTTTAAACTTGGATACTAAAGTAGATAAAGGGATTTGAACCTATGTCCTGGGTAAAGTGCTTTAACAATATGATCTTGTCTCCAATCCTGGTGGTGTTATTCTAGGCAAATTCTAGCAATACATTTGGCATACTTGGTGTGAGAGGGTCTCCTGCTCCTATCCAGATAGCATCTATTGTGGGATTACAGTAGGTTTCCTTTGAGGGATGGAAAAGGTGTTGCTTTCAGCAAGGCATTAGTGGGAGTTGAATGTTTTGGCATGCTCAAGCCTTATGAACATTTCAGCTCATTCACAGTGGTGGGTATGGATTTATGAAAAGGCAACATCATGTTTTAATAGCTGACAGACATGAAAAGTGAGGGAAAAAATGCAGTAGTATTTCCTTAAGAAGACTTGGGTTACTAATGACAATCTTGTGATTTCAGAATGTTTCAATAATGAGCCAAAAGATGTGGATCCCAATGAAGATTGTGACTGTAAGTGATAAAATAGAACTGCACTTGGATTACTTTCAGCTGGCTCTGAATACATACTGGTGACTCTTTTAAGGGTGACATCATTTAAAAAGGACTGAGATATCCTGTAATGAATGTTTTAAAAGCAAACATTCAACCAAATACTTGGAAAAATAATTAAAGAAGTGCTTGTCTAGTCAGGTGTAAATGGAACCTCCTCTTTACTTCTGATTTAAGTCACTTTCCTTAATGCTGGAGGCTTTGTTGTTGCCTTTATTCTTCAGGCAGCACCAGGTGACAAGCTTCAAAGATTTTCCACCGTTACTAATGCATTCAGTGAAATGTTCTCTGTGCTAAATATCAATGATATGTATTGATTTCCACTGCTGTCTCCAGCCTGCGATAGCTGTGTGATTACACTGCTGAAGGATTTGAGCACAATAGGTGACGAGCTTCAGCTCATCAAGTCTCAGCTGCAAAATGTCCATGCAAGTACCCACACTCTGGAGCAGATGAGAGACCTGGAAACACGCATCAAGGACTTAAAGGTAGGCACACAGAAACAGAAGAGTGGATTTCAGATTAAGTGGATAGGCAATGAGCCCAGGAACATTTGCCATAGTTTTGTCAGTTGCAAGAAGAAATACATCAACCCTGGATCCAAATACCAGATGCTGGCAGCACTGAGCTTCACCTGTTAGAAGGTAGCTGTGGTTTCCATGTCATGCTCTGAAACAGAATCAGTATCTCTTCTTTTTCTGAGGACTGCTCACCTTGGAAGTTAGACCTCTGAGGTGTCCCTCTAGCTGTCTTTTTCAAGCACTTCATGTCTCTGCATTACTGAAAATCTGCAACATTCCACTTGCCTTTACCAAAATACATTCTAAAAAACTTTTTTGGTTGGAATGGCAGTTGCTATAATCACAGATAAAAACCTGGAAGTTTTGGGAAGGAATTGTTCAGTTTTCATATCAGTAATTTTGCTTTTATTTACCCTGGGTAAAAATTTAATCCAGTGGGTTGTTTTTTTTTTTGCTTTTTGTCTGCTGTGCAGTGGGTGGTTTATTGGATTTTTTTTTTCTTTCTTTTCAGGTCTTACTGAACAACTACCGTTCTGTTGTTCATAATCAAGGTTCAAAGGCAGATGAGTTGGAGACAGAATTCATTAAACTAGATCGCGATTTAAATGCTCTCCAGGAAAAGGTGAATTATCAAATCAATTTAAAAGTATACATCTCCTGACTATGTATTAGCATGCTTTATCCAGATACTTTTAATCTAATAATTTTTTCCCTTGCTAGGCTGAAATGAACTACAAAGAAGCTAAGAGATTATATAACAACTTCGGTCAAACTCATCAGAAAGGAAAGGATTTAGTTTCACAAATACAAATCGTGGTCAAAAATATACAAGGTAAAAAGTAATTTCTAACTCATGCTTTGTTTTATAACATCTTTTCAGGTTATTTACAATATTGTTAATTACACATAAGAAAACAACTTCATAAATCAGAATTCAGCTGTAGAATTCACTCTTCCTATTAGAAATCTAATACATAATGTTAGTTTAGCACTCTACCTTCCCTATGAAGTGAAAAGGGACAGAGAAGCTCCACTACAGAGACATTGTAAGCAAAAAATTTGACTATCCTGACTCAAGTCTAACTTTGCTCTGGGTTGTTATCATGGGTTCTTTAAAGTTAGAAGCTTAAAATTACTGCTGTGAACTTGGCCATTTGGGACAAATTTCAAGGCCAGTGCCATCTCACCGTCTCTGGTTGTGTGCCATGGGATACTTTTCATCTTACTAGAATTAATGCAAAATGGATGTGCTTCATTAAGGAAAAAACAAGGCATGAATTCATTAATGAAGCAGATTCATCTCAGAAAATACGTCATCCCCGTCATTTGAGCATTTTAAATAGGCTTAAGCACATCCTGGTTTTAACTTTGGTGGTGCTTTTTTCCAGCACTTTTAGAACAGATAGCAGGTACAAATGCAGAGGGTAACAACCTGCCCCTGGGAGATGCCTCTGAAGAACTGGCTGAAGCTCAGCGCATGATGACAGAGATGCGGAACCGCAACTTCGGCCAACTTCAAGCTGAGGCAGAGAAGGAGCGAAGAGAAGCTCAGCAGTGTAAGTGCTTGTTCTCTCAGCTTCTGACTTTCTAGAAAGATCAGTCTTAAATCTGAACAATTATTGATTGGGTTGGAGTAGAGGGAGCAGCCTTTTGCAGTGTATCACTGAGATTTGTAGTTGTTAGTCAACAGGAAAGTGGTTGTTCTGGAGGGGATTTAAAGGCATTTTTAGTGTGGTATGGGAGAAAATGGGTTGAGTTGGGGAAGAAACCTAGTAGATCCTTCTTTTGCAGCTAGATCAATCTCAGTAAAATAAAGATGTAGCCAATCCTAATACACCTATGCAATGCTTCTGTGTATTGTAAGAGATAGGCAATGGTACATAGAGTTATTTTAGAGGAATTGCATGTTTAATTTAACAACATGTTTTCAGAAGCTGCTAGAGTAGTCCAAGGGCTAGGTCATACAAGGATGAGGAAGTTCAGGAGTTCTAGTTGCTCTAGCTGTGTTCTCTGCAAGTGTTTGACTGGGACATTCAGAAACTTGATTCCAGACACTGGAGACATCGAGAAAAGTTGCAGCCTTATCTCCTAACCAAGGGTATAGTGGAAAAATGTGAAAGCCCATATGAGTGACATTTGAGTGAGCCCATATGGAGTTAATTTCCATCAACCTTGAACATTGATACCTACCTCTGAGTGACCCTTCTGTATCTTATTTTGTGGACAGTGAAATGGGCATGCTTAAGAGCATGATTGACATCTTTTGTGTTCCTATATTCTTTGAAATTAAATGTGCTCATATCTCTCCTTTGATAACTAGCACAGTTGTGGATGTCTACATTGTAGATGAAATTGTTGATGAAATGATGTTATTTCCATATAAAAAAGAAAATTTGTGTTTTCAGATCAGCCTCATCCTTACTTAATTAAGAGAACATTTATGTGTGCACTGTGTCTGCAGCAACAAACTAGTGAGCAGATTTGATCCAGCAAGATGCTGAATAGTATCTTTGCTATAGTAGCACTGAAATTAGCATTGCAGTAGATGCTCATTTCACACAAGTACAGCTTTATAAACCTAAATGTCAAGCCCTTTTCAATGAAGTTTGTTCTGGTTCCCTTCTTCTCTGAATAAAACATTTCTTTCTGGTCCTGATACTGCAGTACTGGCACGTGTTAAGAATGAACTACAAAAGTACCACCAAGAAAATCGTGGGCTTATTAAAGTTGTGAGGGATGCACTGAATGAATATGAATCCAAAATCACTGACCTCCGTGAAGCTCTGAATGATGCAACGGGACAAATCAAGCAGGCTGAAGGCTTAAACAGAGACAACACAGTTCTATTAGAAGACATTAAGGTAATGTCTGGTTTCAGGAGAAGAAAATTAAACCTCAGAAGATAAGAACTGGTTTTGGTTACTGCTTTTGACCTCACAAAGCCAAGCAGTGCTAATTCTTTAGACTTTCTTCAGGGTTTCTTTCCGTATTCTGATATGTGTATGGGCAGGTATAAATGTAGTATACTGCTGCTTATGGCCTCTTTGTGTGACCAGAACAGTGTGACCAGGACATAGCCCTGATGAGAGCAGGGAAGGAGAGTTTCTTCCCAGCACTTCTTTCCAGCTACTACTAGTGCTTTTGTTTCCTTTTCTAGACCAAATTCCTGATGCTGATACACTTTTCCTAGTACTTAAGTAAGTTCTTCAAAGTATTTAGCTGTAACAGCCATGAAAGATGGGAGTGAAAATGTTTGCAATACTGTTAAATTTTTTGGGATTAATGTTCTACAGAACAGCTTCTGAGGTCTCATCAGGACAAGGAACAGCTGTTATTACTGAACAGTGTTTGAATTTTAGTGCTGGTAAAATAGTACAAGGAATAAGTATGTACTGCAGGACATATTTTCTTAATTGTGATCTTGCTGGAATGTATCACTGGTTTAGCACACTCATGTCCATATTTAAGAAAAAAAATGTGACTGTACCTTTGGTAAATACTACTGCCAGCTAGATTAGGTTTGGGTTTGTTGTTTTGTTCTGTTTCATTTTCTAAATTTTGGTTTCATATGGCTTTTCCTGACACTTTTCTTAACTCAATGACATGTTCAACTTCTCATTTTTCCTCAGAAACGGATTGTAAACACAAACGTGCAACAGAATGGTGTCTTGAATATTCTGAGCTCGGCCGGATCTTCCCTGACACAAGCTAAGAGTGCACTTGGACTGTTGCAAGAGAGCAAAGAGGTAAAGCTTACCACCTTAAGAGAGGGCTAAAACCCGCAATATCTTGTTGGAGATGAGGGTTATCTGTCATTGAGCCAGTCAAGAAAGAGTCTCACAGCCCATCCTGGATGCAAAAGGAGTCTGCCTGCCTGCACAGGTTTCTGTAAGAAAGCCTTGTTGAGGGTTCTGATGTGTCTGAGGAAGACACTGAGCTGTAGATAATCAGGATTTGGGAGAACATCTGTGAGAAGTACCAATTGTGCTATTCTTGTATTTCTTTTTGGTTAATTGCTTTTAGCCACTGTTAGAGAGGGAAGATACTAGGCTAGAAGGGTCTTTGCTCTGACTCAGCTTTTATGTAATGGGTCTGGAAGCATAATGTAATGACTGCTAGTTGTTTCCAGTAACCTGAAGAGTAAGTTGGAAGGGAATGTTTTCCCCTTTGGTCTCCTCAGGTGCAAGGTATGTGTAACACTGAAGTAGACATGGACAAAATGAAACATGTACAAATACAAATAAAATTAGATCTTTTTAAAACTGTAGGAATATGAAAGCCTGGCTGCTCAGCTGGATGGAGCGAGGAGGGATATGAATGAAAAAGTGGCAAATCTCTCATCAGCAAGCAAAGAACCACTGGTGGTGAGGGCCGAGGAACATGCCAAATCTTTGCAAGATTTGGCAAAACAACTGGAAGAGTATGTTGCCATTCCTGTAAATGAGTAATTTTTGTATAGAACATCTGTGATTGTAATGCTCTGTAATTTCACTTGTTTTTATAACCTTTTGCAAAGCTAGAGAGAAATTGTTGGTCTCTTTCTGCTTCTTCATGATGTATGGAAATTATCTTTATCTCCAGAAAACAGATCTTCCTGTAGTTTCCCTGATTTTTTTCCCCCCAGGAGTGTGAACTCACATAATACTATTTTATACTACTGTACTAACACTTCATTAACATCTTACTAGCAAGAGAAAATCCTCATGTACGGAGTGGGAAGATGTTTAGCATATTTTTTGTAGAGTTATTTCAGGTACTCGTACTCAGGGATGCTTTTATGATATTAAAGAAGTGAGGCGAATAATTGGAATAAATGCTGTCTTGGCAGTCTTCAGACATGCCTGCTAAGCACTATGGAGGAAAAGACCTCCTCTAGTTTTCTCATCCTTCAAAGAATCTTGTAGGAAGGCAAAAATACTATAAACTTGATAGGAATCAAGTGTTTCTCTCTCCATTATTTGTACTTTGCATTGAAATTATGAGAGGGGTTTTGGAGGCCTTCTGTGATACATCAGAACAGAACGAAAAAGAGAGAAATCCAGATTTATTTTTCCCTGTGCAAATTTTTCATATTTTGTCATTGCACCAACTAGAAAGTCTCAGAAAGTTAAATTCCAAATACCTAATGTGGCTAGATAATTCTTGGGTAAAAAAAAACCACTTTTTTTTTTTTCCTAGGTTTTCAGTGTGATTTTTTTCGCTTAAGAAGGCACTGTTCTCACAAATTCAAGGCAGCTAATACTAGACAGTTGTATAGTTCACAGGGAGTGGGTAGAAGAGATTTTATGTCTGTTGTTTCTGATTCCAGAACTGCTGTGCTGGTTCTTGGGGAAAACACAAAAGGTCTTGTAGTTAGTTGCTCAATGATCTCACATCTACAGTTCTCTGAATTCCTTTTAACTGAATTGTATTTGGAGGGCTGTGATTGAGGTGCCTTATTATTGACCATATGCTTTGGTGAATTCTCGCTGTCTTAATTATTTGAAGGCTGCTTTGGAGTCTCACAGCTGTGCTTTTCCACACACCTGAACTTATCCTGTCTTCTAAAGAGTCTTTCCATGTTGGTCTATCTCCAAATTTTATATTTTTGTAGAATGAATTTACAGATTTAATTGAAAAACATTTTCTGTATTGGCGTTACTTAGAAAATAGAGTTCAGATCTGTTCGGAATCTGTCTCACAGCCTTGGCAGAAGGCTGTATTTTTCCCTGTTTCCCACAGAATAAAGAACAGTGCCAGGAAGGATGAGTTGGTGGGCTGTGCTGTGGAAGCTTCTACTGCCTATGACAATATTATTAGCGCCATCAAAGCAGCAGAGGAGGCAGCCAACCAAGCTGGGAAAGCAGCTGACTCAGCTTTATCCGTAAGTATCAGTTATTGGCTGAATGATGGTAAACTTGTTACAACTGGAGTTTTATTTTCTTTAACTATCTCCGAGGACCCAAAATCAAGCACCTGTGCATCTTGGCATGCTTTATTTTTCTGCAGCCTTTTATATGAGTTGCTGTTCTGTACATTGATTAATTAGTCTTGGCTCAGCACTAACCAGGCCAATTGCTGCCTTTCTGATTGGAGTGCCCAATCAGAATGCTGACTGCTTTCAGTGCAAAATAAAGAGATCTTACAAGGCAAGCCTGATAATCACTGCAGGTGATTTCAGGTATTCTCTTTTACTCTGCACTACTAATAACCCAGAAGCTCTTCAGCAGAGACATAACATCCAACAGCTGTATGCTGGTAATTTCCTCCTAATGCCCTAAAATCCATCTGAAGCTTGCTAAAGACCAAGGTTGTAGTGTGCTTAAATTAACCTTGGTAGTTGTTGCTAAAGATGATGTTCTTCAGATGAGATCTCTGCCCTTGTAGAGTTGGGGGGGTCTTTAAAATGGATTGGGCTTTCTCTTTTTCTCTTTAAATTTTAACGTAATTATCAAGTGATCTTACAGTACCATGCTTCTATTATCAGATGGTGAAGAGAGAAGACCTATCAGGAAAAGCTGCAAGGTTAAAAACTGAGAGCAGTACACTCATGGATCAAGCACAGGAGACTAAAAGGACATTGCAAGGTACTAAGAAAGAAGGTGGTACTAGAAATGTTGACACACCGTGAGAAGCTTTCTTTGAACCACAAATTTTCACATCTCAGTCAGGCTCTTCAGTACTTGTTCAGCAAGAAAAAAGATAGTTCCATTACAGTGGGATTTTTTGTGATGGTTATTTCCCATGGCAAAAAGGCAAGAAAATAGATTTCCTCCTCCTGCTATGCTATACACCTTTGCAGTCCTCCTGTCCAGCAAATCCTTTGCCTTGTACCTGTTTTACAGTGGGCTCAATGCTCAGTGGCAGCATGAGCTGTGTAAGAATGTAGACAAGTTCTGCAACACCATCTGTCCAACAGAAGAATTATATTTTTCCTTAAAATTCTCATGGGGCTTTCACTGTTTTGCAGCTATTGGTCCAAACCTCGATGACCTAAAGCAAAGACTTGATATCGCTGAAGGAAAGACGAATGCACTGAAAATTGATCTTGTCACTGCTCAAAACAATCTCAATGGGATAAACAGAGGTTTGTTACTTGGCGAACAATTCTGGCCTGCCCCTTTCATCTGTTACTATAAGAATCTCTGTGTTCATTTCTGTTTGTTTCAGGTGACATTGACAGTATCATCACCAGCGCAAGGAACATGGCAGAAAATGCCAACTCTGTCACCAACAGTGTGTTGGGTGAACTGGCCCCAATTGAAGCAGAAGTGGAAAGAATTAAGAGTAACTATGGAAGCACACAGAGTGCCAACTTCAATAAAGCATTGATGGAGGCAAACAATTCAGGTATTGCAGGTGTTGTGTGGGACCTGCCAAATCACTGTAGGGTGAACATGGCCAGTTTTGCAGCAGAAGCTTTAATCATTCAAAAGTTAGGCACCTACCCTATGCTAGTATTCTGAACTTCTTTTACGGCCAGTAGAAAGGGACAGGCACTTCAGAAAGTGACTCAGGCCATTCTGTGGTGTGTATTAAAAGCTAGTGCCATGCCTGGTTGCTGAAGATTTAGAGACCAGTGACTAATGGGGGATCTCAGGGGTCAATACTGGGTATGATCTTCTTCAGCATCCTTATTAATGATCTGGATGATTAGGCAGAGTGTGCCTCAGCATGTCTGCTCCTGACACTAAACTGGAATACATCAGAGGGTTGTGCTGACATCCAGACAAACCTCAACAGGCTGTGGAAATAAACTGCCAGGAACCTCATGAAGTCCAACAAGGAGAAGTCCTACACCTGAAGAGAAATAAACCCACATACCAGTATAAGCTGAGCAGGTGGCCAAGCTGGAAAAAACTGTAGAAAAGGATCTGGGGATCTTGGTGGGTGCAAAGTTGAAGATGAACCAGCAATGTGCCCTTGGGGCAAAAGATTGAAGCACAGGAGATTCCCTCTGAACATGACAAAACAGTTATTTTACTGTGAGGGTGACTGAGTACTGGCACAAGTTGTCCAGGGAGGTTTTGTGGTCTTCATCCTTGTGAATATTCAGAAGCCTGCCTAGACACAGTTCTGGGCAGTGGGCATAGCTGGCCCTGCTTGAACACGGGGGTTGGACATTGTGACCTCCAGAGCTTCCTTCCAAACTCAGCTACTCTGTGATTATGTGACTTTTCAACTACATTGGCTACAGAAGGGCCCTAGACAATTAGGCTATGTGTCTGTTAGCTGAAATTAAGTGAAAAGGATTGCATAGAGCCTGTGCTGAATACAAAATAAGGGACAATCACATTCCCAAACAACTTCATTTTACGTTTTCAGCAGCTTTGTCTGATAAAGTCAAATAAGAGGAAAACATTTTAAATAATACAAGAGCTAGTCCTGTATGGTATTGCAGGGTTTTACGTCATCCCTGCAATTAAAAAACTGGTTTATAAGTCATATTTAGGAAAACGAAAGGTGTGGATTTAATTTTATTGGCCTTCTGTATCATAGGGTTAAAGTCTGAAAATATTTTCAGAGTGGGTTTTTTGTTTTGGTTTTGGCTTTTTGCAGTCACAGAAGATGAAAAATTGTTTCCTGTTATAATGAAAGTTGAAGTTCTCATAATATTTTCCTTTCTCTGAAATAAACCTGGCCAGATACTGTAAGACTCCCTACTAAATGGTGCTGATTAGTAACCTTGACACAAGAATATAATTCATGCCCTACTCAGTCAGGCCAGCAGTCTGTCTACTCCATTATTCACTCTCTGATAGAGGCAGTAGGAGATGCTACAAGCCTGAGTCCTATTTGCTGTCATTTATCCTCATTCTCCCCTAGCATCCACAGCTACTGGGTAATAATGTCAGAGAACCCGTTCTATTTAATACTTTTTTCTGGACCTTTACCTAAAACATTTTTGGTAGTGCTGATTCTGACTGCTTCTGCAAATACCTTTGGCCACAAATTTCAGGAGTACAATAACCTCTCTATAAACTGCTCCTTTTAGTGAGTTTCCTAATATTGTAGGACCAGTCAAAAATGTTTTGTCATTACCCTGTCCACTGCTTTTCCAATAATTGTGTAGTGATACCATATTTTTGCATCTTGTTTTCCTCCTCCTTTTTAATATCAACGATTTGCTTTCTTTCATTGCAGTAAAAAATTTGACAAACCAACTTCCAGATCTGTTCAGCAAGATCAAGAGTATCAACCAACAGCTGATGCCAATAAGCAACATCTCCGAGAACATAGATCGCATAAGAGAGCTGATTCAGCAGGCAAGAGATGCTGCAAATAAGGTCTGTCCTGAGCATTGCAATCATGCTTGACCTCAGTGGTTTGGATACACAACAGTACTTTTGCTCCTGTTTCTAAATCATTTTATTTAAATGTGTATGAAAGACCAGATATAAATTTAATTGAACAGCACTACCCAGCAACTGAAGTAACTGTAGTGATGGGAAGCATAATAATTCATACATAAAAATGCCAGGAGGCAGATCCTGCTGCATCTTTCTCCCATTAGTTTTTATTTCCCCAGGCATCTCTGTAATGCTGATCTGTACAGCAGCCTTTTGCCTTCCATGTACAATGGGGTGGCTTTGGTGGCTGGGACAGAGTTGGCTCTGCTGCTTAGAGACAGGGCTCTCCACCCATGTGTGGTTAATTGAAAGCTGACACTGCCGAATACACATACGCAGCTGCAAGTTGTGCAGCCCTGTGCTCTGGTTACTCCAGCTGCTCCAAGATCTTAGAAATTGGCTACTGGAACCTTAATAAACTGCCCTTTCTCATTTAAGCAACTGCTGTAGTTGCTGAACCTATAGTGGATCTCAGGCACTAAGAAGCTTCCCTGAGATCATCACAAATAGCCTAGAGTTACAGTGAATAAGAAGAATCAGTGATCATGGTGTATTTAGCTGTGTTAGGATGTGTCTTTATAATATCAGAGGTGCATTGTAATATCCAACAGACAGTCAAGTCCAGCTGAGTGAAGCACCAGGATGTGTTTGTAGACATCTAAATAATTCACGGACTTGCTCTTCAGAGCTGCAGGGCACATCCTTCCCTGTCCGTTTATTGAAGGTAACAGTAAGGGTTGATTAATTGATGTCTGGAACAAAAAAGTGCTGTGTTAAGTGTTGACAATGCAGACTCTACTGCATTATCCAGTCTGTTTCCTATTTATTTTGTTTGGTAGGATCAAGGAGTTCAAATCTGTGTTAATTAATGGCTGAAACATGACTAGGATATGTAATGGGTTACTTTGTAATTAAACACACCAGTGAAACAGGAGTAGTAGCAATAGTTAATTGTAACGCGCTGGACTTCGGTTTTCTTAACAGGTTGCTATTCCTATGAGGTTCAATGGCAGCTCTGGTGTAGAGGTTCGACCTCCAAGCAACCTTGAAGATCTAAAGGGCTATACTTCACTTTCCTTATTTATCCAAAGACCTCGGCAAACATCAGAAACCCGCCAGAGGGCAAATAGGTTTGTCCTGTACCTGGGTAATAAAGATGTAGGTATATTTTGATATTTAATCTGATTTTTAGAACAGACATTGTGTTTTGAGAAAAGGATGGGAAGTGATCTGTTCTGACTGAAATTTGTAGCTGCTGTTGGCCTATTTCTTTAAAATGGCCTTTAAGTGGTGGAAGAAGTGTTTTGTTCATTCCTTCCCTGGCAAAGTAACTAACAAGTGGCTGAGCCTTGTCCTTTGATGCTTTGCTCTTCTGTTCCTTTGGAAGTTACTTCTCCATCATGGATACCATCACACATTCTTATCAGACCTGTCAGTTTCTGCACCAGTCAGCACAAACATAGCCCAGCTCCTGCCTCAGAGCTTTGACTCTTTTCACACTATGTCACTGAGTTTCTCTGTTGGTTTAAAATAAAAGTGATCATTTCAGTTTTAAAATTTAGCCCCTCAGCTCTTAATTTTTTTGTCTTCTGAATATGCAGAATAATGCAGGCCTGCTTGTGCATTCAGGTTTGCTCAATTATCATCAAACATTTTAAAAATTCCTGCATGTGGTTTCTAGTCTTGTTATTTGACAGCAGCTGTATCTGTAGTGATCCTTGTGCCTACACAGAAAGGTGTTTAGAGGTACTTGTTCTACACTGGATTTCATCTTTTTATCCTCTGAATAACTAGCCAGGACATCTATTGGAAGAATTTTAATGGTTGCTTCTGAATACAGTATCTTAAATAAATAAAATGTGGTTTTTGGGGGAAAATGACTGCTCCCAGTCACCTCAGTAGGAACCATTGTCCTTCATTGATTGTTCTTCTGAACATCTTATTTATGTCACAGATGTTGAGTCTAATTCTTTAGGTGTCACGTTTTCATAGCTTTAGCTGGGAGATGTTACAAATGAGAAAAATATTTTAGATACTGTTGTTACAAAAATAAAAAGCCATACATGACTTCTCAGTTAATTTATAACTATATGCATTGAATCAGTGCAACATATAGGATTACAATTTTTTCTTCCCAGAACTGATAAACTTAATTCTCATCATTAGGTGGGCGGATTTCTTATGACTCATGCACAGCGTGATGATGTCTCTGAGGAGGTGCTGCTGTATTGTACCTTCATTACAGTTAATCATTTATTAATTATTATTTGCTTTGCTATTTTTAGGCTTCCAAAGACTACATTGGTATGGCTGTGAAAGATGGTTACCTTACTTGTGTCTATAACCTGGGAGGTGGTGATGGGGAAGTGAGAGTGCAGTCATTGGTGACTCAAAGCAACACTGAGGAATCTGTTATGGATCAAATTACATTTGAAAGGTATAAGACCCACAGGGTACACCCATCTTCTTGAAAAACTGTTAGAAACATCTTTTATTACTGTGATGTCAAATTCTGCCTGTCCATTTTGTTTTAGGATTTACCAGTATGCAAAGCTGAAGTACATCAAAGCAGCAACATCAATTTCTCCAGATTATGAAAGCCCTAGGAGTACAAGCAGCGGAGACAGTGACATGCTCCTCAATCTTGATCCCAGCAGTGTTGTCTTTTATGTTGGAGGATACCCACCAGATTTTAGGGTACAGAGTTTCTTAGTGTTTTAAAGAGATTTTATGTTAATCATACCATTGTTCTTACAAGTAAAGATTGGGACTAGCAGTCTTTCAAAAGCATGTGTAAAGGTTTATCTACGTCAGTAGGAATAGATTACATGCGAGGAGATGCTACTTCCTACAAAGTCTGCCTGACCTGTAGCATTCTAGATTCAAAGAGGAGAGCATGATGATGTTCCACTTGCCAGGGAAAGCATTAAACCTGTCTAGCCCTGCTAAATTCCAAATCCATGTGACTCCACTTCAAATTGTGCTGCAGTACACCTAGGGTTGTATCAGATGGTTTGGATATTATATACAAGCACGTAGTATATTTTTTTACATATTTGGAATGTCATATTGTGTGTCTTAAGATTTGCAGTAAGTCTTAGCAGTTAGATAGCAATGTAAAAATTTGTTAGCTAATGTTGATAAAATGGTTTTAATGACACTGTTTTGCAGCCTCCACGAAATCTCAACTATCCTCGTTATGAAGGCTGCATTGAATTAAACAGCCTAAATGAGCATATTATCAGCCTTTACAACTTCAAGAGGACTTTTAATCTCAACACCACTGAAGTGCAACCCTGCAGAAGGTCTGATATGAACACAGGAGTGTTTCACAGTTCTGTGATTTTTTTTGTTATGAATTCATGTCTGTTCAAATCCAGAAGTATAACCACTGTAGCTAAATTGGTGATTTTTTCTAACTTAGTCATTATTACATTTCTTAGAGAAAATCCTTGGTTGTGACGTGATTCATGTCTATGGCCATCTCAATCTGTTTAAGTGTTGTAAAATTCAGACACAATTTGTAGACTAATGTGTTCATCTACTTTAGGAAGTAAATATTACATTAAGTTCAAAAAAGTCAGTCATTGATGATTTCCTCCCTAAAGACCATTTGGGAATCTGGTAGAAACCAGTGGAAGGTTTTCTCTGTCCTTGTGTTAAATCAGAATTTGGCCCCATACCAAATGCTTTAATTTAAGCTTTTTAAAAATTATAATGGAGTAAATCCACATGGTAGAATATGTCCTATGTTCACACCTGTGACATTGAATTATTACAGGTATAAAGAGGAGACTGATCAAAGCTATTTTGAGGGCACTGGTTATGCCAGTGTCACAGCAAGAGAAAGAAGTGCCGAACGAGTGCGGTATGAGCAGACAATTGAGACAACTGCAGATGAAGGCATCGTGTTTTTTGCAGCAAATGGGGTAATGTGTGGAATACTTCTCTTTGTTTTGTAGTGGAAGAACATCTTAAAAATTTTGCTTAATAAGGAACATGTTAGATATAGTAATAACTGTAATGAAATGTCTTAAAAGTGTTGTTTTCATCTATGTGGAAAACGAGTAGATTCTGCAGTATGTTTAATGCCATATGGTTTAGTCTTAGGTAGCTGTGCAAGAAACAGTGAGTTGGTCTTATGGGTCCCTTCCAGCTTGAGATATTCAATGATTATACAATGGTTGTCAAATACTCACTTTGTCAAGGCTGAGTAAAAAAACATTCCAAGAAGCTCCTTCATTAGGCCATGAAGAGAATTCAGAACTGGGGGCAGGAAAGGAGGAATGTAATTGGAATCAGACCAATGTTGGAATATTGAAATCCTCTAAAATTGGAAATCCACTCTTCCCAAATCTAGATACATGTGGAAACAGAGTAAGAAAGAATATAGGAAGTGATATGATGACTTATACCTATATAAAGATGCTCAAAACCACAATGCTGCTACTTATCTAGTAATCTTGTAGGCATATTTGCAATCACTGGGAAATATTCTAGATAATTTTTCAATGCTGTAAAAAGTCAGTAGACATTTGAAATGACACAAAGTCCTTTAGAGATTTGGAGAATACCTGGAGCTGATACCAGATCTGTTTATAGCAGTTTAAAGTAATTATGATGGATTAGTATAATTTTTAGGCCTTGTGTTATCCTTTCCTTGAAAAGCTTTCTTAAAGCAACTAGATAGCTTCATTAAAATTATTCATATGACAGTGAAATATATATCTGAAATTGTGGCAGTTTAATTGTGTTGGTGTTTTGTTTTGTGTTTTTGTTTTTTTTTATTGCAGGATCAGTTCATCAGTGTGCTCATTAAAAATGGTCATACAGTTTTTAGATACAAACTTAACTCTGAACCTCCAAAAGAAATAGAAGCCAAAGGAACTGTAAATGATGGAACATACCAACAAGTATGTAATTTTAAAGAATCAAGGGATCATTATTCGTAAAAATACATATTAACTGAAGCTGTCCTGTTGTAAAGTTTAGTTGTGGAGTTTTGTGTGAGGAAATCAAGTCACTGGGGACTAGTTTGGAGATGTGAAATTTAATCTTTCTCTTGTCCTGCTTTAATGTGAATAGTTCAGTTTTAACAGTGAAACCACCAAAGGAAAGAATTTTGTCAGAGCAGTGCTTTATATAAAGATAGCTGTGTACACTGCAATTATTTGCATTCATTTCACATGTTTCCACCACCTAAGGGTTTATTTCTTCAGGGTGGGCTGGTCTTTATAGAGATTACTCTTCTGCAGTCTTTGTTGTTTCTTGTCTCCTTAGCTTCAGTCCAGCTCTTTTGTAGCACTACCAGAGTGAAATCATAAAGGCATTGTTAAAAACCTTTGATTTCCTTGTTGGTTAGTTCTCCCTTTTCCCCTTAATACATTTCCAATCAAATAGTGTAAGCTGCAGGGTATGCTGTAAGGAATCTTTATACTCTACTGCATCACGTAACCTTCAGCCTGACTGACTTAGTTTTTGTATCAGGCAGCAGTTTCTGAATCTTCAGCTGCAAAGACAAGACAATATCTGAATCTTAGGTGAGGTCTGTTCTTAGGGCAATCTTTCAGATGAAAATAACACCTCACCTTGTATTTGGATAGTTGAACATTTTCCTTGCTTTGACTAAATGCCCAAAGTTTGCAAAGTACCTTTGAACCACTGCAGTTACCCTTGATTTAAGTCACAAGTAAACAAGAGGAGGGGGGAAAAAACATCACCGTGTCCTGCTCTGTGAGGGTACTTTTAATCAGGTGAATTAATTTTGTTTCTGACAAGTGAAGTGGTTCTCATTATTTGTGTATTTCAGATTAATTTGGTGCTTGACCGAAGAAAGAAAGTTGTGTATGTCAGTCCTGATATTAGAGCCAACATACACGTCTTCAATTTCACTGAGTACTACCTAGGTGGAGTTCCATCTTTTCTACGGGAACGGTAAGTAACTATAAAATGACGGTAATATATAGACTTTTTAGGGAAACTCCATCAAAACTCTTTCTTTACACAATTTCTTTCATGCTCTGTATTGACTAATGTAAAACATAAAAAAAACAAGTGTATAATACATAATCATAATCCATGATTTTTGGCTAATGGTGCGATTTTTGTTGGAGCTCATGCTAAAGATTGGGTTTGATCAGCATGAGTATGTGTACACAAGAGAGATTGCTCTCATTCTCCTTTTCTATTTCTTATATTGTCAGCATTTATATGTTACTACAGCAGTGTGTGCTTTGAAATGCCAGGCTACTGAATTATTTTTCCTTCCCCTCCCTGAAACCAGCTTTAATATATCCACACCTCCATTCCGGGGCTGCATGAAGAACGTGAAAAACCCAAGCACTGCATCTGTTGTTTTTGATAAGACTTTTGGTGTCAGCAAGAAATGTCTAGATGACTGGAAGGTAACTAATAAATTTCCTCAAAAACTTCTGCTGGCGTTCACAGATTCTGGTTTGTCTATAAATCCTGGACCACTATGTTTTGCTGAAGTCAAAAATTATGTGATAGCAAAAACATGTGATAGCAGTAAAAGAACCTGGATTGGGTTTGAAGATGTGGAAATAAAAGAGAGACCAGCCCTATTGTGATAGCTTGTTACAGCACGTAGTCCACTCTAATTTAATACTGTGTACAATTAAGTATTCACATTTACCATGTAAGTTGTTGGCTTCCAGTTGCTGTTATTGATTAGGCTGGAATACTTAATACTACTCGGTATCTTCTCTCTTGCCAAGATGTTTATGCTTCCTAATTAAATGACCTCTCAGCCTTTTTTCTTAAATGATCTTAGCAGACTACTTCCATCAAAGTCATCTAAGACTCCATTCATCTGATTGTTTTGTAATTTTTTTCTGTGCATCCTTGAGTTTTGCCATGTTCTTTTTAACATGGGACAGCATGACATTTTAGTGTTGACTTAACTAGTGCTGCATGGAGAGATGAAAATTTCTGCTTCTATTTACTGCTGCTTGCATGGTGCATGATCTCATTTGCCCTTTTTACTACAGCATTGCACTGAAAGTTTACACTTAATTTCTTTTACTTGTGGCATCTAAACCTTTCACAGAGCAATTTCTTCACAGACTATCTTTGCAGAGGATCTAATCTTCATTCTCTGTATCTGTAAAACCTCTCATGGACTAAAAGGTGTCCCATGACTCACAGTTTCAGTTATGTAGCTCATCTGCACAGCTTCATATTTATGAACTATTCCTCCAGCTACTCAGTTTTGTGTCCCCAAATGTGGAAACTTTCAAAGCCACAGTAGCTAGAGATGAACAGCTCATTACTCTCAGCAAGCCTCCTCTCTCTTTTTAGAGTTTCTCAGACCATAATTAATGCTGGTGAAGCCAACTCTGACAGTCTGTTCTGTACTGAAATAATGGTTTTGAGGTTTGCCTCATGCTTAGTTTTGACTGGAGCTGATCACAATTATGTTGAGTGGGGCAGCTGTTGTCTCATATTGTCATTCCTTCTGATTAAAAGGAAAATTACTGAAATCATTATTTTCTCTCTTTCAGCTTGTGAGATCTGCAGCTTTCTCCAGGGATGGAACACTGAGCCTGAGTGCAGCAGATTTCCCATTTCCCAAGGATTTCCAAGTTGGCTTTGGCTTTCAGACCACAGCTTCAACCGGAACACTCTTAAATTACAATATAAGGGTATGAAACACATTCAGCTTAGCATATGTGATGGGTTTTATCTCTGAATCAGTAATTTCAGTTTGTGTCATAAGTCTCATGTAGGTTCCTGTATTTTAAGGTAAGAAATGCCTTCTTTGAGTGTGGCGTCTTGCATGTCATAGGCCAGAGGAATGCAGTCCGGCAGTTTCTTCACATGGCCAGCAAGTAGTTTGATGAGTAACTGAGCTTTGAACTTCTGCAGAGTAGCTCATGCACCATCCCAGTAAGAAAACTGTTGCTTAATTGGCTGGAAATTTTCTTAAGGATAAATGGCATTCTTCCCACACAGAAATGTTACCATGTCCAAATAGGCAGAGGAAAGGGATTGGTTCTGGCTATGATCCCTCAGAAATCAGGGAAGTTTAAATAGAACCCCATTCTGGAAGGCTGGAGAAGCTAAGTGAGTGCACACCAGGCATTTGAGAAGTGAAGAACTGAGTCCTCTGCTTTTTGTAAAAATAAATAAGTGTTTTAAGTAAATGTTTGCTATTCAGAGTGCAGAGGTATTTTGAAATGGAAGCTATGCTCATCATGCAGAACTTTTTACACATCTGGTACTAGATGACTGAGAAATGCAGTTCTAGTGTAAGAAAATTTGTTGCCTACTGGCGCCCACTAAGAACTTATTAATGGCAGTAGCAAGAACTAAAGGCTCTTTCATTTATTTACCTGATCATTTTGTGGGGTTCTTCTGTAGCCTGATGTTCTTTCCATCTTTCTGAGTCCTGGCTCCATAACTGCAAAGATACGAGATAAGGAAATTAAACTGGAAAAGAAATATGAAGATGGGTCAATGCATTATGTGACAGTAATAAAAGCAGACAACAGGTGAGTATAGTTCTTCATCTAGTTCTTATATATTGTGGTTGGAGAAAGGAAATCCAAATTTTGTGGGACTAATTATTTGGATATATAGCTTAAAATAGTCTCTTCTAGCAGAGAATACCTAAATAATGAAGGAAATATTTTTCTCTTCATAGAGAAATTCATAGAATTCATGTTCTATGAATGTGCATGCTGGTACCTGTGATGTTTCAGCTGTACCCTACTATGCACATCTTTTATAAGTTGTGTGAGTTTTGACTGCTTGTCTAGCTGGAGCTTTGGAGTCTTTGGAGCTCTTCCCCTTCCCATAACCTTTATGTGTGTCCCTATAACACAGGTGGTTAAAGGTCCAGGGAAGAAGCAAATGCTGTGCCTGTTTTTTCAAGAATGATCTGTTATGCAGATATTAGAAATTAGTAGAGACAATTTACTGAAAGGTACTAAATCATACTGATTGCTGTGGAATGCATGAAATTACCTAAGTGTTAGTTGAAGTGGAAAGTTTTGAATGGTTGGCTATAACTTTGGGTGATTATAACTTAATACTGTCTGCTTCAGTTTGACACAAAGAATTAAATCCTTCCCATAGTTGACAATGAGAGGTTTTTCATGGATTTCAATTGCACCAGGATTTCACTGTAAGACTGAAGTATGAACTTCAACTCTTGCTCATTATCTAATACGGAAAAGCAGAGCAATTTCTCAGCAGTCAATAAGCACATACTGAAAAAGTCCCAGAAGTTAGCTAATGAAGCTCTAGCATAATCACAATGTAACAAAGAAGCACATCTGGAAAATGGTTCTTTTATATGTATCTATGTAATTTAGTTTCCTAACTATTTCTTTATATATGACGCTTATTTTCATTCACTTTTTTTCAGAGTACATCTGATGGTTGATGATGAGTCAAAAGCAATTGACTCTCCCAGTTCATCAAACTCACAGGAATCAAACAGACCTATAAAACTTGGTGGAGATAATTTTGAAGGTTGCATTTCAAACATCTTTATTAAAAGGTATTTGGCCTAGAGAGAATTATGTTTCCTGCATTTCGGCCTGTTCTCCTTCTTCAATTATATTAAAGTTACATTTTGCTAAAATGCTTTTCTTCTACATGTGTGAAGCCTTCATGAATGCTTTCATGAAGTTTGCTCTCACGAACTTTGCTGCCCTCACTCTTTCATTCAGGTATATTATACATGGGATCCAGTTATAATTAAATCTGCTGTTCAGATGTAAAGGAAATTTATTCTGAACACTCATACCTGTTTAGTAGTCTGTTAGCAAAAAAATGAACACTGCAGAGTGAATTTGGTAAGTTCCAAAAAGGTATCCAAAAAGATTTGCTAGATTGTATTGTTATAGCTCCCCAGGGAACCAGGTAGTCAAAGGAACAAAGCTACTGACAGAAGCAAAACAGTTAAACAACTGAGACCATATATGTAGAAATTATCTGCCTGATTTGGGCTGTCTCTTTTTTTCACGTTTGTCTGATGATTAGAGACACCTTACAGGCAAAATTTAGGAGAAGAAATATGCATAAATATGTTTCTAGAAGACAAGCATTCCATGAGTCATAAGCTACGTCCCAGTGGGGCTTTGTGTTAGATAAGTTTTGATGAGTATTTATACATGTGTAGACTTTTCAAAAAATTGTGTATTTTTATTTGATTGTTGTACAAACACAGAATGGGCTGGGCTGGAAGGCACCTTTAAAGATCCTCTAGTTTTAGCTCCCTGCAGTGGGCAGGGAGACCTTCCACTAGACCAGGCTGCTCAAATTATGTCTTCATTTAGAGCAGTACAAGTCAATGAAGTGATGCCAAGATGATTTTTTGGCTTTTCTTTTATATACCTTCTATGTATCCTCAGTACTCCTAGCATTCATACTTGTAATTCCTTAAGTCTGATAACTTGGCATAGCCCTAGTATTCTGTTAATCCAGGAGACCAAGCATCCTAGAGGCCTCATAGTAGGGGGCTGTAAAGCCTTATGCTATCTATATGCTTATCTATAGAAACCAAGGTCCTCTCTAGAAGATATCCTGTCAACAAAGATTCTGCCCTTCCAGGGGGGAATTCCTCAGATGGGGGAATATCACACCATTCATCCAAGCTTCCCATTGGGGTATCCTTGTTAGATATGCTAATTTGTAAGGTCTATAAACTGTATAGGTGACCTTGTGTGTGTGCACTGCAGCTCATCCCACCTTGGGGAAGTGGTGCACCATGAGGATTCTCATTAAATACTGAGGCAAAAACCCCTTATCCCTTAACCGTGTCTGGCTCTCAATTTTTTTAAGACCAGGGAAAGGCATAAGAAGTAACCTGTGTATTAAACTTCCCATCAGAAAATGAATTTGGAAATTTTTTGTGCCAAAATAGATGAAGAATTAATACTGTAGCTGGTCTGATTAAGTGAATGGAGAATGACCAGCATTAAAGAAGTTCAGGTTCTACTCACAAATCTACCACTCTTCTCATAGAAAACCACAAACAAAGAGCTTTGTAGCTTTCTTGTAAAGTTTTTTGTAATTTACTGATTAGAGATGCTTTGTACAACTTACAAACTTATAGTATTACTTAACATTATTCTTTATACACAGGGTAAATTTGCTTTGGCAGTCTTTTTGATAATTTGGTTATAATGCTAGAGCTACGTATGGAGTTTTGATGGGCTTTGTCCCTTGACAAAACTCATTAGAGCATCTTACTTAAGGAGAGAGTGAAGCAAAACCTGATGTTATATTTTCTTGATTTGAAGCTGGTTATGTATAATTACCAATCAAAATTTTGTAGTCTGATTCAGAAATCTTAATCAAGGCTGCTGCAATTTTTTTTCTCTTTTTTAAAGGGCCATATATGTTTGTGTTTTTAAATAGCTTTTTAGCTAAATAAATAGAAAAAATTACTTTGCTTAGAAAAGATTACGACAAAACATCAGAGTTTTTCTATAGCCAAAAAGAAATGAACAGAAGCAGGTAAAATATGATTTCCAGCACTGAATGTACATTTTTCATTGAAAAATAAAAAATTGGTACTTTATATCATGTCACTGGGAAATATATTTTGTGCAGAAGAGTTTTCCAATATGTTTGTTATTGATTACACTAAAGAAAAGGAATGCTGAGTCACAGCACTTACTGCTTTCATCACTACAGGGCAGGTCAGCTCCCTGAGGTTCAAAATCTTGTTGCTAATACTGGCAAGACTGGTGTGTCCCTCGGAGCTTGCCAGGAATACAAAAACCTTGAACCAATGATGCTGCAGGAATTTAAAAATCCTCTCAGGCTTAAGATGCTCAAGGTATGCTTATTGTTACTGTCATCTTTGCTCCATATTGATGCCCAGGCTTTGTCTGCACAGATATAATTTCTAGAACTGAGATTCAGATGTTCTTTCCTTCCATCTTACATCTGAAGCCAGTTCTCACTGTGTTGGAGTTTCATGCTAGACCCGTACCTCTCTAGAATGACAACAGCTTTTCCATCCTTTAGGGAAGGTTGTTGTTGACTGCCTTGGGTGAGAGCTCTTCAATGTGTTGATTACAATGTTTCTATTTATGTGCACGTATAGTAAATGTTGCAATTCTTTCTTACACGCCCAGAATGAAAAATACCTTGATTATCTGAAAGCTGCTAAGGTGGAAAGCCACACTACAGCAGCCCCGTTACATGACAGCAGTGAAGCGTATCTCCTTGGAAGCATCCCCAACAGTTTCATATCGTACATGTTTTCTCCATTGTTATCTACAGACAGGTAAGAAAAATGTTCTCTGTTCTCCTCCTAGTACTTGAATTGTCAAAGCTGCTTAACTCTTTGGGTGCTGAGTGTAAGGATTTTCTTCGTGTTTGTGTCTTGGGCCATAACAAAAGGTTACTCTACAAGGTCAGGTTTCTTTTTTTTCCTGTGCAAATGTTTACCTAAATTGAGTAGATTGAATGGGATGTGGTAAACAATTACGGTGCATGATAATGCCAGTTCCTAAGCCTGAATATGTCAAGTTCATTCACATTCAGAAATGCAGTGTATAATGCCATGATTCCACCCAAATGCTATTCTGCTTTTCACAAACTGAGTTTCATTGGAGAACAGAAAAGATACAAGAACTTACAAAATAGACTTATACTAGAATATGCTTACTTTCCACTACAGGTTACATTTTTCTGTAGATGTACGGACTCGATCATCAAGAGGATTAATAGTTTTCATGGAGGAAAGCTCTGAGGACTCTTATATGGCTCTCCACATTTCAAAAGGACATTTTGTCTTTTCACTTGGCTCTGTAGAAAAACAAATCAAAGTCAAAACCAGTAATAAATACAATGATGGGCAATGGCACACTGTAAGTAGTATGGAAACACAATGATAGCATAACTAGCATTCAGCAAGCACAGCCTATTGCTTTTTTAAGAGAGTAGAAACTCACTTTTGGTCATCTGAAATTAATTCCTATGCCTATGAATTCCTATTCCTATGAAAGTTCATGTGGGTGATAGGTCTCTGAGAGACCTTATTGAGACTGATGGTTATTAGGATGTTATTTTCAGTTTAAAGATTTCAACAGCATGGTGTTTAATTTAAACGCTGAGAAAATCTGCAGTGGCTTTCATTGGCATTTGGGTTTTTTATTCTGTTACGTTTGCCTCCTGGAAAGGTGGTCTTCAGCACAGATGGGAAGAATGCCCGCCTTGTCGTTGATGGTCTAAGGGCCCAGCACAGAAAATTGGCAACAAATTCTGCCATCAGCATTAAGCCACCAGTCTACTTGGGAGGGCTGCCACCACTGAAGAAACAGGTAAATAATTGACTCAGCCACCACACACACTCCCCATGCTGCACTAATTATATGGGAAAGTCTTTAATACACGAGATTTCCATGCTGAAAAGCTTGGGGGGAGATTTCCAAGGATCGCGTGAGCGCCATCTGTGACTGGTGTTTGCAGTGGTTCATTGCAGATCTTTTTCCTCACCTGTTCACACAGCCTTCACCTGCACCCATATTTTCAGTATGTTGCTGAGACACTGATGACAACCATGTACTCTTTTCATTTTTATTCCTTAAAAATAGAGAAGACCAAAGTCACTTTTTTAATTCCAGAAATACTATAATACTATTTTTCTGCAGAACATTGACCTCAGTGGACTAGGCAATAATCAGTAGAGAAGCAAAAGAATCATTCTCATTAAGAAATTACGGATGTAGAACTGGATTTTAATATGAAATACATGTGGTTTCTGTTTAAAAAAGGGGACAGTTAATGATCCAGGGTATTTAATAAAATCACATTTTAAATAAACAGGAAGGGAAGGCCTGCTTGGGATTTCACAATTCCTCTTGCATTGTCTTTTTCACACATCATTGGGAAGTATACATTTTATGAGAAGAAGTCATGTTCAAAACCAACTCTTACTGCACTTTTTTAGAATTTTGGAATACCTTTTCATTGTATCAAAGATGGGTGTTAGGTGCCTTTAGTGCCAGTTGTCTTTCTAGAGTCCAACAGTCTGAAAGAACCAATGTTTAGTATTATTACTAAGAAAAAAACCATAATGCTTCAGTATTCATGTTTTGGACTATGCTTTCAGAATATACCAATGAAGAGTTTCAAGGGTTGCCTGAGGAATTTTAAGGTGAATGGAAAAGTCATGAATGCACCTCAACAAAAAAATGGCGTACTTCCATGTCTGGATGTTCCCATGGACACAGGGATTTACTTCTTTAATGAAGGGGGATATATTGCCATTGGTAAGATGTGTAGAGATTATGGTATATGGAATTATGTCTGAAGCATGTAGGTGTATGGGTTACTTGTTTATGCGTGGTTTTCCAATTACCTCCTCCTATGATCTTTCCTCTCCCCACTGTTTAATTCTCCACAGGTAATTTGCTGATGGGATTGGATTTCAGGATTGTATTTACCATTCGACCAAAGAGTTCAACAGGTGTACTCCTCCATGCTGGAAGCAAGCAAGACAACTATTTGACTATTTACATGAAGGGAGGAAAGGTAGGTACAGACTATTTCCATTCCAGCTGCATTGCCCTCAGTCAGCAGGGGAAATTCTGACCTTCCCCTGTTGCTTCTGTTCTTTGTTACAGTAGTTTAACAGGTAACTTCTTTACAGGTCATTGCTGCTGGAAATAGTGGTGCTGGAGAATTCCAGGCATCAGTCACACCTAGGAAACCTCTGACTGATGGACAGTGGCATACCATTGCAGGTACACTGTACATACCATTTCTTCTGAAGCTTTGAAGGGATGGTGGGCACAGAGCACTGCAGCTCCAAATTTTTATTAATCATTTCACTTCTGTTTAGTCTGAGAATACTCTTTAGAATGATGTGTTAATTCTTTAAATTTTACATAATTTTTATATAAAAAAATCTTTATATAAGATTGTTTTGGTAGGCTCTGTTAAGCCCCAGATGACCTAGGTTTGTCAGTCTGGCTCTGAATTAAAAATCTGGTTTTTTCTGTGCCTTAAATCTCACGAAAGATGCTATTTAAAAATAGTTTCATATCTAGCTGATTCTTCAATAGGGTTGAGAAAGAGTTCTCATTTACCTGCTTCTTTGCAGTGTCTCAGAAGGAGAACACAGTGCAGCTAGAGGTGGGCACACAGAGTAACTATACCATTGAACTTCAACCCTCTCCTCTTAGACGTGTGTATCAGCCACTCTACTTCGGCAAAATTCCAGGTAATATTGCTTCTTATTTTTTCATGTTTCCCTTTCTAAGTAAGGTCCAACCCATTCACGTAGTCCTATATCATTTCTCCTCTTTTGAAAGCCTTGCCATAATTAATGTTCTTTAATTCTTACTAAGTTGGTCTTTCCACCTTGTTTTTTGTAGCAAATTTGGACACCCCGTGGGTTCCAGTAGAAGACCCATTTTTTGGCTGTCTTTGGAATATTACCATCAATGACAAACATATCTCCACCAGGAGAATTTCAGAGGTTCATGGTGTAGTGAATTTGCACGGGTGCCCAGGGAGGTAACTCTGCTGTTACAGTCATTGTGCACACATCGGGCTGTGTCTGTAGAAGAACTGCGTGGATTCCCCTTTGCTGATCAGCATCAGGCTGCTTGTTCTGAACAGCCGGTGAGCAAATGCATCCTCTGGATGTGGACTGTGCCAAAGCAAACGAAAAGTATTTGCTTTGACAAACTCCCTTTTAAATGTTATTGATTTCCGAGGTAATCCGTTGTGCCTTCTGAGATGTGTGCAGAAAATATAATTGCATATACCCTACTGGGCCAAATTCTGCTCTCACCCACAACAGCAGAGACTTGAGCAGCTCCAGTGTCTTAATTTTGGAAATTTTCCTTGGTGTTGGCCACCTTGAGAGCAAATTTGATCCATTAATATAAAGAATTTTATAAAAATATAAATCTCTTTGGATTGTTGCTTATACAGAAATGTACATTGATGTTAAAAGTAATAATAATAATATAAATGGAGTTTGAAGCACTTTAAGGAGTGAAACTCTGGGAGTTTGTTACAAAGTTAGGAATTGTGGGACCAAATAAATGCAGTATGTTCCTAAAACCTTTCATTTTCTTGTTTGGTTGTTTTAACCTGGTGGGTTTTTAATGTACTTTTTAGAAGCTGCTAAATCCTGCTTGCATTGTGCAAATATTTCTGCAGGTTTAAGATTCAGGAAAATTCCTGAACAAGCAGGTGTCCATCATCTCTGCATCTCTGCTCATCACAATTTGGTTATCTAAAAATCTCAAAAGGAGGGTTGTTTTTTTGCAACCTTCAGAACCAAAGAGTCACTTCCACAGGCAATTTTTTTCCTAATGAAATGAAGGAAAGTTTTATCAAGAATAGCAGCTGCATCTGCTACAATTATGTAGCACAAATTACAGGACTAACCCAGCAAAACTGTTTCCTTCAACATTCAAATCTTTGTTTGGTACCTGATTGTGACCCATAGTAGAGGGCAAGGAACCCAGTTTCCTTTATTCTTCCGAGTGGAGGGGCTGGACTGTACAGACTTGACATGGCTTCTTTTTTCCACTGGCATCCAGATTCAGTATTTTGATAATGGTGGTTTTTTTTTATCCCCAGTGCCCTGATGCCAACCCTCTTTTCCAAAATGAAAAAGTGAAAAAAAAAGAAAAAATTTTCTAAGGCTGGTCCTTGATGCAAGAAGGCATGCTGACAAATTCTCCTTCACTCCCGGTGCTCCTACTTTCCAGTGCTGCCTTCTCAATGTACAGCAGCATATCCTCAGTGTGAGGTCCTCAGAAATGAGGTGCAAGCTGTACTAATAGAAGCAGGTGCCAGATCAGTAACCCTTATAGCTTTGGTCATTAATCCCTTGTCAAATTTTTGCAGCTTTGTAGGTCCTTTGCAGCTTTGCGGGGTGAAAAAAGTGTCAGAAAGCTGTTCACACCAAATCTTGTGTTGCTTTCTCTTTAATGGCAACTCTTGCACTGGCATATCTGTGTCCATGTGGAGGTTCCTGAAGCATAAAGCCAGTTTTGGTGGGGATGGGATGCATGCTGGTGTTGAGGGCTCAGAGGGAGCAAAGGATTGAGATGTAATGGCAGAGCCCTCTCTCTGGAGATGCCCGCAGAAACATATTCTCCTGTACAGCAACCTGTACTGCCATATGGGACAGAACACCCATCGGGCTGGAGGTCATGAGTTCAGAAATCATATCCTGTGATAGCAACAACTGAATCCTTTCTACTTATAAAAGCTCAAATACTGCTCAAATACTCAGTTGACCAAAACTGTGAAAATACTCAATTCATTTACTGGCCTGATTGACACTAAAAGTTTCCAGAAGGAGAAAGGAGGAACAATTAAATTTTATCATGCAATTTTCTAGTAACATTCCCTATCTCATGTTCATCAGTTGGCTCTGTGAGCCAGATTTTCCCAAATCACAAAAAAAAAGCCTTTTCATTCTTCTCTTACCCCTCCCCACTAAAACAAAACAAAACAAAAAAAAAAAAAAGGCCAAGATTTTTTCATCACAGCCTGGAGCCAGTCCTGGATTTCAATTCCCTTCCATTTGAATTGATTTGATCAGAAGTAGTTTCAATGCTGACAAAATCAAATTAAAAATGTATAAAGACTTGAGTAAATGTAAGATATATCTATCAGTAAGTATTAATTCCTATACAATACTACTTTTGCATAACAAAAAAATAGGAAAATCTCTTTGGTTTTAAGGTTCTTTATGTTTGTTTGGGTTTTTTTCCCCACATTTTTTTTCTGTTGTATTGCTTCCAGAGAGTCAGGCTGTCATACATTGTTGGGACAATGAATAAAAGCTAACTAGAGTTTCAGGTTCTGTACTTTCACATGAATAAATCTATTTTGCTATATTAGACTGAGGAGCACTTAGTAAAAAGCTTTTTCACAGAATATTTTGAGTTGGAAGGAATCCTCAAGGATCATCAAGTCCAGTGGATGATCTTTACACGAGGAAAGAAGTTGTCCTGTTTCAATCAATGAAGAATTTTTATGATTGAAGAAATCCATGTGGACACTGTTAAGGGTTTTTTTAATTGTTAGAAGTAGTAGTTCCAAGACTTTCATCACCAGTGTTGCCATTTGATAATAACTTGCATGAATTATTTACATCTTTTGGCTGTAGCATTTCAGGTGTGCCCCCAAAACTAGCAATTCCCATATTAGAATGAAATACACAGGAGAAGCTTTCCCTGTAACATTTTATTCTATAGTTACTTTACTAATCAAATACCATGATTAGTATTCAGTACACTGAATGGCTAAAAGATGCACACTCTTTAACAGCATGTTAGAGTTCTTCTGAACCCCAAATCAATTGGAGAAGGAGAACAGATTTCCACTCTAAACTAAACCTAAACTAAAACTAAACTAAAAGATTGGTATTGCAGGAATCAAATCTCTCTCTTGTCCATATAAGTATCAAGTATCAAGGGCAAAGGGTTCTCATCCAGTTAATTTTCAACAGATTTAATAGGATCATGTTGTCTGAGGTGGATGACACCGAGGTCTGTGAGTTTCCATTTATTATAACTACAAACCATAGCCAGATTATTGGCAGCTGAAAGACACTAAGAACTTAGAGCAAATAAAATTAAATAGATCACAGGGCACTGTAGAAGGAAATACACATTCATTGTAGAAAAAAAAAGTGTATATATATAAAAAAGGAAAACATACTGCCTTTTCACTACTTATTAATGACTGTAACTTAAATTTATAATAACAAAAGTTCCCAATTAAAACTTAAAACATTCTTTCTGTACCTGAGCTAAGGGTTTGTGCTTTTATTACTGTGGAGCTTTCATTTAAAATACAAAGCCACTGACCTTTTTCATTGTCACCACCAACATGAATTGGGCGAGCTAACTTTCTGTGGCTTTGTAACATCTTCTTTGAGTCACCTGTGAGCCAATTAATTTTAGCTTTCCATCCTCTTTGCCTCTTTATAAGTCCTCCATGAGTATTTTCCATATATGCTATTTTTTATTATTTGGGGTATTTTTTCCCTTCTTCCTTTCTGCCCTTCATAAAATAGCCTTGAAAATGCAGTCTTAGTGAAAACACTGTAATTGTGTTATGGTTTTGTAATGGACTCTTGCCATGCTTTTTGCCTCTTACCATTACTCTTTGTGGTTTCCTCATTTAAAAAAACGAAAAACCTGCATCTTTCCCTAATGATGTAAGGAAATTTAGGATACAGCCTTCTGTAAATCTGTCTGCATTTTCTAAAAATACATTAAATGGACCTTGCGAAAGGGATGTTAAAGGGGATGGTGCCATAATACAATATTATAGCTTCACTGGAGGCATTAAGGCTGCAAGGCAGAAACATAAACATCCTTTGTGCAGCTGGCCCAGACATCTTAAAATTGTCAGAGGCTGGTCATTGCCTGAGCTGCAATGAAGCACCCTCTGAGTTAAAGAATTGCAAACAAAATAACCAATGAGTTTTTATGTTCTGTCAGTTTAGGGGATCTTCTCTAGCAATGAAACCAAACTGTGACCTGTTGCTCATATTGTACCATGTCTCCTGCTTTGCAGCTGAGAGCATAAGATGTTTTTAAAAACACACCTATTGTTACTTAACACCTCAGCCAGTTACTGTGTTTCCTATGGGTTGTTCAAAATGTGAAGCACATGTGAAATGTTCCATGAGAAATAGTTTCTTTGTTAAGGTGTCACTCACTTGTTGAGAAAGATGGAACACTGCTGCATTATCACACAGAATAAAAAGAAAGATAGTTGGCATCATGGCCTTTTGTCTCTGTTCAGTTATATTTAAACTGGGAGCAACAACAGATTTCTCCATTGTGTGGGAGCCTGTGTCTAAAATTTCTGTCACAAGAGGACTATGCACTGGTAAGAATGAGTAATTACATTCATAGTTGTGTCAGTAATTTATAAAATAATATGTTTCATGGTTTAGGAATGGTGCTTCACAGTTCAGTGCAACCACTGAGACTCTCCCAAACCACACTGACGCTTGCCCACTCCTCCTTTCTCTTGACCCTTCCTAGTGTGGTGGGGAAATTGAGAATTAGGGTACAAAAGGTGAAGATCAGGTTGAGAAAAGAACAATTTACTGGAAACAGCAATGAGATACAAAAATGAACAGTAACAGCAACAATATGAATAATGAAAGTATACAAAGAGAGGGTAATTCACATGCAAAGATGCTCACCAGAGACACCCAAGACAGTAAAACAGCAGACAGTGTTCCCATGGTTTTTTCAGCCAGAAGACCTGTCCTCTCCCACAGAAGCCAGAGAGTCCCTTACCCCTGCTCCTGGCAATGACATGAGGTGGTATGGAATAATCTCCTGCCATGCCCCTTCAGCCATGCTGCCTCAGCTACTGCAAAAAATTAACTCTGTCCTGGCCAAAACTTAAGACATTATGGAAGGGAACTGTTAGAATTTCCATCTAGAAAGAATTGCTCCGATTGTTTTCTGATGCCTGAAGACATTACAAAGAAAAAAATTTTAAAGTATAAAGGAGAAGTAAGTTACTTTGTGTCCAGCCAGCTCTTGCTGACACAGTTTTAATTAACAAGGTTAATAATTAGCATAATAAGCCAAAATCTATCAGCATGAGATATTACTTAATAGGGGATTTATATACTGGGGTAACAGCTCCTACCATAAATCTTAATTCTAGATCCTGATTACTTTCCGATCAGAATTACTATCCTGACACTACAAACTTAGAGAAACAGTAATAGGCCCAGGTACTGACTCCTCTGGTGAGGTCAAGGGCTTCAGCTAACAAATTTACCTGAGAACAAGGTGTCAAATCAGTAATAAAGTTCTAACTTTCCCATTTCTGTACTCATTTAAATCAAAGGTAATGATATGTCCCTGGGGCCATTAACCTAAGCAGTAAAGAAGCTAAAAACACTCTGAGCAATTCTCCAGGGAAACACAAAGGCATAATCCAAAGTTCAGTGGCTTAGTGGAAAGACTGAACCAGTTCACAGGACTTTGGTTCATACATCTTATTAAAACATCCAGTAAATCT